CCATACCAACCAAAACCAGTGGGAAACTTGGTGCTGAGCAGATGGGAGCTCTGGCTCGCCAGCGTAGGGGGAAGCAGGGATGCTCCAGGGCTGGGATGTGAGGATTTGCTAGCACAGCTCTCCACCATCTGTGAAGAGAAGAGATTTTCCCCATCTCAAGGCAGGGAGGAAGCAATGTACATGTTAAATCGACATGTGCCTGGAGAAATAGAGAATGAAAGTTTCTTCTGTGTGGCTGTGGAGGTTTGTAGCTCTGCCAGGCTGGTGTACAGCCCGCTGTGCTGGCTTGGCGTCCCCGAGGAGCTTTGAAGAGAGGAGGCAGTGCCTGCAGAGAAACCCTTCTCTTGTGGCACCATCCACAGCACTGCTGATGCTGGAACGGGGCTCTTAAGAGATGGAGAAGGACCTGAAAGAATTTTAAAATCTGATTTTATTTTCTTTTTTCCCATCCAGTGCAGATTTTGAGTGGCTTACAGACAAAGCACTTGGATATGTTTTCTGGTTTAATTACTGGTATGTGAGTGGTGTCTTTACATAAGGAGAAACTTGAGAGTGTGAAAGCTGCAGCAGAGCAGGGCAATGACCCAGTAACAGCATACGGGCCAGGTATAGTTTCAGTGACATCCCATTTACCACATGGCTGTTCAGATCATCAAGGCACATTTGCAGGGTGGGTGCCATGATCATCAGCACCTCTTGGGGGGAGAGGGTGTCGTGGGGGGCTTGTCCCTGCTGGCAGGGACACGTGGGGCTCCCTGGGGCCAGGCTGGGCTCTGCCAGGCCACACGAGCATCCTCTGACTCTTTGTACCTCCTCTTGACTCCACCAACCGTTGGGGCAGTTGCTTGCCTGCTGCGCTATCGTTTGAAAATCCAGATTTGTTTGGAAAACATTTCACAGTGCCACAAAATCACTCTCTGTCCTTAAAATAGAAGAGAAAACCCATGATGTCAGGAGACGATGCTTTGCCCATGTGTTTTGTAATGCAGGATGTCCTATGCACAGCAAGATGTTTCCTTCTGGAAACTTCTTTTTCTTTCAAGCTGATTTGTTTTGACTGCTGCACAAGTATAAAATCTGTGGCTAATCTGGAGAAAGCGCAAATCCTCTCCAAAGCTTCCAGTTCCCATCCTGGTCACCCAGCCCTCAGCTGGGGCAGGCACTGCTGCCATTGAATCCCAGCATCTGTATTTTCAGCCCTGGGACTGATTGTCCCATCGTGGGTGTTTCCATCATCCCCAGGTGTCTGTCCCTTTTTTATCTCTCTTGCATTTAATTTTTTCCCTCCAGTGCCTGTTCAGAGAGAGTAGGGAGAGTCTGAGCAGAGCAGAGTTAAGGTTGCACATCCACCTCTTGATTTCAGATGCTCCCCATGTTGTGTGGATACTTGGTTGGATTTTGCCAAGAGGAGCAGTCTGCAGTTTTAAAGGCCCTGTGCTGGGGTTGTTCATGCTTTTGTCCACAGAAAAATGTATTTGCAAAAGCATCTGATACCTCTAGAGGATGGCCTGGGCCAAGGTCTGGGATCTATTTCTCAACCCAGACTAACGGTTTATGAGAAGTGATGTTGCAGTAGGTCACGGGGGGAAATGGAAAGCACCAAAAAGTCTGAAAAACATTTCTGAACTCGGGGTAAGTATTTGGAGAAAAAGGCATCCAAGTCTGTCTCATTGCTGTCTTGCCTGTAGCTGGAGGGAAGTGGAGCAGGGACACGGCTTTTGTCAGTGCTTCGGTGCAGGTTCAGCGCTGGATGAGAAATGCATTTAAGTAGTTAAATTCATATTTGTTGGCATCACAGTCTTGCAACTATGTGTGTGAAATTTTGTTCTGCGTTGTGTTTTTAGTGAACATTACAGGCCCAGATTTCAGATCGGTTTTGAGCCCAGCCAGCTCAGAGGCTTCCTGAGCATCCCCAGACTCATCCATCCCACCTCCACCACTCCAGCCATCCCATTAGGCAGCTGCGGATATGAGGTTGATGGACTCATTCTGCTCTTTGGGCAGGAGTCAGATCTTGTCTGTGTTGCACAGCGAGGTCAGTGATTAAGAAATGCAAAGTCTGGGAGGAAGAGGTGTCACCTGCCCCTTTGCATGGGCCGTTTTGGGTTGAGTCAGTCTCAGAAGCAGATGAAGAAATCAGAGCTTGAGGACTGTTGGCATCCCCCCTCCCACACCTCCAGCCCTCTGTGCTGGGGGGGATGTCCCTGTCCCCGGGCGAGGAGCAGCCCTGACAATGTGGGCTGTGTTCTGCGTGGCCGGGGGCTGGTGGCACTGCCTGTCCCCAGCGCCCACCTACACGCGCAGGCGCGGCGGCGGCTCGTTCCCGATGCGCGGCGAGTCGCACCCACATCTCCCCCCGAGACAAAGGGACCCTGGAGGAGCCCGGCGTTTGCTCTTCTAAAAGCAGGGGCGCATTTCGTGTGTTCCCTGTCGTGGGTTTTATTATTTGCCCCTGGTCCGTGGCGTGTGTGGTCGCCTGGGCTGCCCTCCCTGGCCGGTCCCGCGGCACTGGGACCACCCAGGTCATTCCCACGTAGCTCTGCCCGTGATTTCGGGCCAGAGCCGCTGCGTCCCTGCTGCTCCCTTTTGCAGCTCAGCAGTTATCTGCAAATTTACCTCCTCCTGATATGCACAGCCCTCCCTTTTACAGTCCCAGTGCGTGTGATGGTAGGATATACTCCTCTGCATCATTAGATGCATAGATGCCTCTGTGTGTGGTGTATATACCAGTGTTTGGGCTCAGCACCTTCTGTACTCCCATTTAATGCAAAATGCATGTATGTACAAATATGTCCCAAGCATCTGTGCCAGGAACCTACTCCTTTGTGTCACGGCCACTTCTTTCACACTAACTAGTAGCCCAGTCTAAAGAAAATAATATATTCTTCGCTATTCAGGCTCCAAGCAGCATGTAGCAATATGTGCTATTTAAATGCCTGCTGTCTTGCACCTTCCCTCCCATACTACATCTGTGAATGAAGAGGGGTTCAAAGCTTTTTGTGGTAGTGATGTGAAGCATCAGTATGCGAGCATAGTAAGGACACTAGAAATCTTAGCCTTGCTAAATCTCTGGTTGCAGTATTGGCTGATTCAGTTCATAAGTCAGACTTGTGCTTAGTAACAGAAAGGCATAAAACCAGCTGATCCATTACTCATTTTAAGCTGTAACTGGAGAAAATGAACCGCTTTAAAAAATGAAGGCTACAGATCAAAATGATGTCTTCCCTTAGACAGAAAGCTAAAGAAGTAATTTGAAAAGCTTTGTTCAGCATGACCTGATCACAGGACTGCAGAAGTCCCGGACATGACTTTAATTACTGGCCCAGTCCTATAATTATTCTGTCCTTCAACTATTTTTATTGCAACAGCTGGATTGGAAAATCCTTAGAACGAGCAGAAAAGATCAAAGCAACACGCCTCCTCCAAGCCCCTTCACAATCTACAATCTGTCATCTGGTGTAACTGGGACACACTGGGACAACAAGTTCCTTCGGGCTTCAGCCCAAAAGCGAGACCCGGGGACCCCAGTCGCACCCGAGCGGGGTGGTGAAGGGGGGGCTGGATGGAGAAACCATTAAGCACATCTTGTTTTCCATAAGGGCAGCGGGGGAAAAGTGACCTTAAAAGTCATCTTGCAGTGGGTTTGAGCCTGTCTGGGATTCAGGAGAGCTTCCCGGGCCATGTGTCAGGGCTGTTTATTTTCTGTGACATCTGCTCCTCGCTGGCTCCCAGCAGCGTTCCCTGCGGTACCCGGGCCCCCCCCCCAGCAGCCCCGCGCTCGCTGGGTTTTGTCTGTTGTGCTGGGTCCCCCCCCTCTCCCTCCCGCATTTCCTTCGTACCGGGAACAGCTGAAGGGGTAGCAGCATCCAAAGCTGCAGCCCGTGATTTATATTTCATGAAGACGGGTTCTCCTTGCTTGCCAAATGGCTTCTCTGCCTGGCGACATCCCACCCCGGTGAAAGCCTGTGCGAGGGCCGGGGAGGAGCAGCACGAAGCAAGGCTGGGGATTTTCCACTGTTTGCTGCCCTGGCGTTATTTTTGTTCTTAGCCAAGAGAGCTGTCAGCACAGCCAATGCCCTTTTTATAACTCTCTTTCAGAGACTTGTAACTCAGCCGTGATGCAACCTGTGCACCACAGCAGCCTTTCTAAGGGGGCTTTTGTTGTGCAGGCGAGATAATTTATCCTCCTTTTTGCTCCTTTTTTAATCCGCATTTAGTTTGTTAACAGCAAAATAAAAGGTTATGTGCGTGGAAAATGCAAATGGTAACCTGGCAGTCCCCAGGAGGTTTGGATGGGTGCCTTTGGGAGCCTGGCAGTGCTCTGCACATCTGGCACCAGGGACTGTCTCGGGAGGAAAACAGCTGGAGCCCTGTTGGAAACAGGCTTATTTAGAGACTGACTGGGAGAGATCCCACCGTGCCCTGACTCCTGCTAGAGCTGTGCCAGCTCGGTGACAGGCTCTTTGGGACACAGGGCAGGTCTCCAGAGCCAGCTCCCTGCTATTTCCAGGCTGCATGCATAGGCAGGGCCCATCCCGGTGCTGCGCCAGAGGGAGCAGATGTTTGCTGGGTATTTCTTCTGCATAAAATACAATTATTTTTTGAAAACAATAAATAATCCTTTTTATTTTATCCTACTGGGACTGTTTGCTGCTTTTGTATTCAGTTGCTCTGAGTAACTTTCCCTTGGTTCCATGGGAAAGCATGGTCCTCCTTCTTCCGTCCAGGAGGTCTCTCCAGGGTTTGAGACCAAATAATCAACCCCATAAGGCTGATTTTCTGCCAGCAGAACAACCCAGGGGTTTGGAGGACAGTGACCACGGGTTTGTACCTGGGTCACCAGAGCCTGGAAACTATTTCTGGCACTATTCACCCCTCCATCCCTCTACACAAATATTTTTGAATTGGAAACACTCTCTCTCCACAGTTACCAAAAGGAAGATGACAGAAATGGAGCTGTGAACAGCTCAGTGACTGCTGGGTTTGTGTTTGTTTTGCAGCTGAGGATCCATCTGTGCATGCCACTGGTCTGCTCGCCTTGGGGGACGCAACTGAGTTCCTAACGCTGCCCAGGCGTCCAAAATGGTCATGCAAAGACACCCCCTCACCTGCGCAGGAATAGCATTCGCTCTCTACCTTCATCACCTCGTCAGCACCATCGAAGTCCCTCTGGATTGTAAGTTCTAGTTTACCCCTCTAAAAACTCCCGCTGAAATGGTTGAGGAGGCAGAGTGAAGATGTGCACAGCCCAGGCTGCTTTCCTGGTCCAGTCCAAGGTTTTCTTTACTGTTGTTTGTTTGGAGCCGTTTTTCTTTTTAAACCATATGCCCTCCAGAAAGTCACCAAAATTACTCTCTGATTTAGCCAATCTAGCTCAAAACCTGAGCAGAGGACTTGAAACCACATATCAAAATGGAACAGAGCATCTGAGCCAATCTGGCAAGTCTTCAGCCTGTTGATTTAAGTGAAGCATCCCAGGACTTCTGGTGTTCCTATGGGGCAAGGGCAGGTTTTGGGAAGCTCTTTTGTGGAGGACATGAGCTCATTGCTAGTCTTATCTGGTAGATGCTGCCACAAGCTGACACCTAGGTCCTCGAGGGCAGCGGGCACCCAGGCAGATCCTGCAGAGCAATGTGATTTTTCTCTTTCTCTGTTGAGACTTTTTGGTTAATTATAAGATGGGTCTTATGTTTTATTCAGAAGCACAAGAGCTGGGGGATATGGAGTGAGGACAAAGGGAGACATGGGCTGATGTTTCTGCTGAATGGGCATCTTCAAGCCAGCGTATGGGAAATGCATGACTTGTCTTGAATGTACTTGAGATGGGGGTTTGTACTGAGAGCTGCTCAGCCGCTGTTCTGGAAACCAGTTTCATAATTTCTTTGCGTCCCAGCTTCCTCCTGTAGCGGCTGTAGATAACCATCAGCCTGTCGCTGCAGGGAATCTCTTCCGACAGTGCAATGCACAGAAATCCTGCAGCGAGCGGTGCATTAATAGAAAAAGCACAGCTTTTTGCCAGGGTCTAAATTCAGGCTGAAGTGCCAGGGTTCCTCTTGATAAGAGAAATTTCTACTCTGTTGGTTGTTGCTCTGTGGAGTCCTGGGTGTGCCGGCCGTAGCCGTGGTACCTCAGTTGATCCCTGACTCTGGGCAACAAAATGGGAAGGAAAAAATTGAGGCAGTGGCTTTTGGCTGAAATTTGGAACTGACTGAAGAGAAAGGGTGGAAAAAGATCTGATTTGTGGAGGGGAATAAATGCTTAGAAGCGTAGGGAGGGGGTCCCAGACTCGAGTGCCTGCTCTGCTCCATTCCAGGTGATTGTGGATGAAAATATCTATTCCCCTGGAGTCAGCACTGTAACACACACAGGTCACTCTTGTTCCCAGCAATGGGAATTTTATTTGGTGCACACAGCTCAGTGGTTCCTTCAGGCCTGGCTTTGTCAGCACCTATAATATTCTAGAAATGGGGGCAGCTGGCATGGAAGTAGGGGCCAGTGCTGTTGGGGAAAACTGAATGGGTTTGCAAACAGCTGCCTTCTGCCATTTTTTGTGCTTTGCCTCAGGAAAGGAGTAGTTTTGCTATTTAAATGTAATGTGACCTTAGAAAAGTAAGAGAAATGCTGACAGCTGGTGGAGGCAGCCTGCAGCAGCTCACCGTTTCTCTGGCCGCCTCCTCCTCCCTGCTGCAAAGCCCCGAGCCACAGGAGAGCATCGTCCCCTCCAGTGCTGGTATGAAACTGGGATCATAACTAAGAGCATCCTTTCGTCATCTTATCCTGACCGGGTCCCCCGCATGACAGATACTTGTAAATAATGTGCACGGAGGCAGCTGTGTGCAGCAGAGCCAAGGGCAGGGGGGTCAGGACCATTTCCCATTCCCGGGTGAGGGTTAGGGATCCTGCTGATGTCTGTCCCCGCCAAACAGCTCTTCCCAACCTCCCTTGGCTCTTTTGGACACGTGGAGCATCAGCTTCGTTCTACTTCCACCCCAACCTTCAGAGCTGTCAGGGGGTTTGCTTTCAGCTCCTGTTTAAGCCACCTGGCGATCAGGGCTCCCTTACCCACAGCTCCTCTGTGAGACTGAGCTAACGGAAGCATCGCCTGCACTCGAACGGCTGCAGGTTTGACCAGGTGGTGTGTAAAGAGCCCCAGCTGCTCCGGCTTTGTGCAAGGGCTGACAGACGTGCAAATCCCAGGCTCTGTGAATGTACGGGCTCTAGTCACCACATACCACTAGCTGTGAATGTCCCCCCCACTCCCCAGAGATCAGCTCCTTCGTCCAGGGGCCGGGGTGTGGGCTCTGCCTGGTCCCCAGCTGCAGGAGGGGGCTGGGAAACCCCCCCACCACTCCCGGTGGGGCTGAGATGCTGGGGGGCACCCACCTGCCCTTGCTGACACAGCTCCGGAGTCAGAGATCTCCCCAGGGAGGTGTTTTGCTCCCCAGACCTTATGTTTTAAGGGCAGAAGCAGCTTGGGAGAGGGCAGATGCATGGGCAAAGCCTCAGGGTCCCCTCACGGCAGAGGGAACAGCCCTCACTCACCCCCTGTCAGGGGGAGCTGCACTATTTGCTCTTTCTTTTAAGCTTGCCGAGGTGCTTTTTCCCTGCCCCAACCCTAACAAGTCGTCTTCTTTGGATAAAATCCTGCCTGCCCCTGTCCTGGGGCAAGGGCGTATATATCTCCCTAAATTACAGGCATTTTCTCTGAGTTTGAGCATCACCTAAAAATCCAGCTAAGGGTTTATCAGGCACGTATTAGCCTCTCACATAGGGGGATGAAACTGGGCGGGGGGGTCTGGCCATAAGGGAAGGGGGGAACATTACTAACTCCTGTGGGCAACCCACTGGACTGTGGGGCTACCAGTGCCCGCAGGCAAGTGGTGCAAGTATGCCTGTGTCCTCTTTTGTCCCCCCGAAAGCCCCTGCTGCAGAGGCAGCTGACAGCTAACAGGACCATTCAGCAGCAGATTCTCCCATGTGGACAGTCAGTAGGTAGATTACAACATGTTTGAATCATAAAATGATTTGTGTGTAGTTTTTGCAGGCCCTACAATAACTATTCATGCTTACGTTTGTGTACATGATGCCTATAAGTTTGTTCTTCAATTAACCTGTTTTCTTTTTTTCATTATGCTTGCACTTTGGAAATAACAGCAAATATTCAGAGTGAATGTAAGTGTTCCCCTCACCCTTTGTGTGTACGTGTCCATCTCCTCTGCATGGCTGAAACAGGGCAGGAGGGGGTCTGCACCGAGCAGGGGGTCGCACCGAGCAGGGGGCCGGTGGCGGCTGTTGCTTGGCACAGGGTGGATGTGGCAGGGCTGGCCGGAGTCAGGACAAGCTCCTGCACAGCCAGGCTTGGTTGGGAGAGGCCCGGGAGGTGCTGGAGCTGCCTGGGGGAGGGAGTGCTCAGGCTCTGCTGCTTCCCTTGGAACAGGCCTAGGCGTCTTCGCAATGCAAATATTGTTTCTGCGGAGGCTTGTTATTGCTAACGCCACACCTCAGAGGAGAGCAGGCTCCCTGGCCTTGCATGAGCACACGTGCCAAGCTCAGCTCCACGTACTGACACATTTGCAGCATTGCTAGCTCTGCCCTTCTGAACACCAGTGCTGTGCTCCTTGGGGGTAAATCTGGGAGGTTTTGAGCCTCTTTCTTGCACAGGGACTACCTGTAAACATCTTCCAGTGGCTCTCTGGCTCCCTGCCCTGGCTGCCCTTTCTCTTTGAGGTGCACAGCCAGGATTCCTTTCAGTCTGATTCAAATGACCTGAGGTAGCAGAAAGCTGTAATTGTGAAATTACTTAACGAGACCACGATAGCAAGTGAGAAATGGGGGCTTCCTGGTACCAAAAGGGAGTCTGAACAGCACCAGTGGTCTGAGGGGTGATGAGCAGCACTCCCTGCAAATGCTCATGGTAATTTCCTCAGGTGTTGAAGGGCTTTAAACCACAAACCACACATCCAGCCCGGGGAAGAAGCTGAAATCCCATCAGGATCTGCTGCAGGACAGCAGAGAGAGGTTTCACCTTCTTTGTGCAACCCTCCTCACGGCTTTTCGTTTGCTTTGCAGTGCCTCAGCCCCCCACAATCACCAAGCAGTCTGTGAAGGACTACATCGTCGACCCAAGGGATAACATCTTCATTGAATGTGAAGCCAAAGGGAACCCCGTTCCCACGTAAGTGCATCTACAGCCCTTGTAACACTGAAGCTCTGCTGCTGTTGGTTACAGCTGGCTCTGGGGGAGCTCCTCTCCGGGCGAGCTGTGCCGTTTGCACCATCAGCTAATCCAGCCGTTGGCTTGCACGGCGCAGGTAAGGATCTCGCTGGGTAATTATGGTCCATGGTTACAAACCCAACCTCTCCCCCGTGCTTGCAGTTTTTCCTGGACGCGGAACGGGAAGTTCTTCAACGTGGCGAAGGACCCCAAGGTGTCCATGCGACGGCGGTCGGGGACGCTTGTCATCGACTTCCATAGCGGGGGACGGCCGGAGGACTACGAGGGCGAGTACCAGTGCTTCGCCCGGAATGACTACGGCACTGCTCTCTCCAGCAAAATCCACCTCCAGGTTTCTAGTGAGTAACAGCAGTGGCGCAGAGCGAGCAGCCAGCAGCCCCGAGGAGAGCAGGGACTATCTGCATCGTGTGAGATTTTGGAGAAGAGACATGGAGAATAACCAGTGCTCAAACATCTCAGCTTGCTTCATCTGTTCCCTGTGTCGGGACGTATCCAGCCACAGGACTGAGAGAGGAAAGCATGGGGGGTTATAGCTGCAGCTAACAGGGAAATACTCAGTATAGATTTAAGGGAGTCTTGCACAGGTAGAAATGAAGTTTGCATTGAGGCTGCTCCGTTGAAACCAGGCCAGGTCCAGTGGGAAGGGCTCTGCAAAGTTACTACCCTCCCTTCCTCACGCGGTGTCTTTACTTCTGGTGGCAGAGTCTCCCCTGTGGCCCAAGGAGAAGGTGGATGTGATAGAGGTGGATGAAGGCGCTCCGCTCAGCCTGCAGTGCAACCCGCCGCCCGGCCTGCCCTCTCCCGTCATCTTCTGGATGAGCAGCTGTGAGTGGGGGGGAACCCCCCTTCCCGCCTGGAACCCTTTCCCTCACCTGCAGTGTTTATTTAAAGCAGCTATGCTTAGGGTCGTTACTGCTAGTTCAGGGCTTGGAGGCACCCGTACGTGGCCGGGGGCCGGGGTTTCTCCTGTACGCAGCCCCCCGTGGGGGTGGCTGGGCTGCTCTGAATCCTGTTTTCCCCCTGCAGCCATGGAGCCCATCCACCAGGACAAGCGCGTCTCCCAGGGCCAGAACGGTGACCTGTACTTCTCCAACGTCGTGCTGCAGGACGCCCAGACCGACTACAGCTGCAACGCGCGCTTCCACTTCACCCACACCATTCAGCAGAAAAACCCCTACACCCTCAAGGTGAAAACCAGTAAGTGTCATGGTGATAGCACGGGATGGGTCTTCCCTGCCCTCTCTCAGCAGGGTTTTCCTTCCAGACATCTTTCTGTCCTTGACAGCACTGAGACCAAGAGTGGCTTCCTTCGTTTTGTTTAGGGTAGCACAAGAACCAGTTTGGATGAGGAATGGAGGTCCTCAGACAGCTAACTCGGCACGGAGGGGTGGCTGGTTTCCCTCCAGTGCCTCGGAGCTTTGCAGCTTCATGAGTCGAGGGCTGCAGAGGTAGCTTGGTGCAGGTCTCACTGGGTCTGTGCATCCGGAATGAACTGGGAAGCATTTCAACACAGACGGGGCATTCCTTCCACCTTTAGGGAAATGTATAATGTCAAGCGATCTTTCCCTAGTTCGAAAAGCTGGAAGTAGCCTTGGTTTGCTCCAAGCTTATGTTTACTGTGCTGGTTCTGCGCAGGGGGATCAAGCGTGTGTTAACCTTGAACAATTCAGGATTTACCTGCTGACCAGGAGCTGCTGTTTCGCTCCTTTGCTCTGGGACGTGCTGACAGGAGGGCTTGAGCTTTTGGGGTCTGAGTGTGTGCATGCGGGACATGCTCAGGGTGGGCAGCGATCTCGGTTCCACCATGGTGACGAGCATCATCTTGGGGGACAGGAGGAGCACGTGCATGGTAAAGTGCCTTTCCACGGGCAGGTCCAGCCATGAACAGCCTCTGCTCCAGAAACGAGACTAATTGAAGGAAGGCAAGTTCCTGATTCTAACATATTTCATGGCAGCTGGCTGGTGGGCATGTTGGCAGAGGGGACGAGCTGAGCGCTGCAGGACATGAAGCTCTTGAGTTGATGCAGGTCCTGCGGAGCATGGGCTCTCTTTTGGTGGGGGCATGTGTGCACAGAGCACTGGCACCATCAGCAACCGACACAGAAATGGCAAAACCATTTTGCAAACCCCAATTATCACCCAATCTCCCGTTCCCAGTAAGGGCAGAGTGGGAGGAAGGGGCAGTGCGTGCAGGCAGATGCAGGGCTGTGTTTTGGGGAGCAGGCTCTTACCCAAAGCAGGCTCGAGGCGCTCCTGAATCCAGCATTAGGAGCTTCATTTGATCTCTCGGGGGCTTAAACTGGAAGTAACACTATTAAGTAACCTGAAAGTGATGTGAGAAGCAGACAGGGCCTGCAGTGTTTTGCACTTTTATTGTAACAGCTTCTCCTCTGTGCAAAGCATGAGTAGAAAATTGGCAATATAAATACTATAAATAGGCTTTTGCTAACCGGGGGGAGTGTGCGTAGGTAATTCATTCTCACTGTTATTTGTCTGTTTACAGAGCTGGCCAAACAATGTCAACGTTTACCTGTGAGGGAAGGACTAAGTTCTAAATTAGTGTGAGCTGGAGAAATTCTGGCAGAGATCTGTGGTCACTTGAGCCTCTAAAGGCTCCAGCCTGACATATTAATTAAGCTTTAGAAAAAATGTGGAGGAAATCCTGGAAGATTTCTGTGCAGATAGATACAAGCTCTCCCTCCTGCTACCCTCAGATGCCGCCACAGTGTTTTGCTCCCAGGCTACGCAGAATTGGCTTCCCATTACACTTAAAGACCCCATCTTTAAGTTTTCCTTTGGAAATGTCTGCTGTATTTTCAGATGCCAGTGCCACCCCGTGAGCCCCCCAGAGGCCCTTACAATTTAAAGAACTGTGGCTCTAATTTCTCATCTGTCATGATACAGAAAATTCTTTACATGTACAGTGTTCAAAGGGGACGAGCTTGGATTTGTCTCAAGCTGTTCAATCATCTCAGCCTTAAGCCATGAGTGTTGGCTGTCCTTAAAAAAAGTCACCAGCTGCTGAAAAATCATTGCATGGGATTGCCATGGCTTTGGATGCAAGAAGAGAAAAATACAGAGGCTTGGGGGAGTGATACAGCCGTGCTTTTCCCTGCAGAGAGTTTATCTAGTGTTACCCAGGTTCAGGTAGCTCTTGGGCATCTGCTGGGCTCTCAACCCCCTTGCACAGAGACACAGTGTGTGGCTGGGGACTTACGGCTCAGGGCAACAACTATATGGTAGCCAACAGAGCCTCTCCCTCTCCTGTTGGGCAGATGATACCGTAACAGGGCTGTGCCACATCCTGCTGGAAACCAGGGCGTCCTCAGACCCCAAAATGATATTTTGGGTAACAGTGTGAGCGGGCCAGGGTGGTGCCTCCTTCCCCCACCTCCTCGCAGAGCGTGAGTGGCAATTAGCTTTCTTCTTCAAGTATAGGTGGTTGTCAATAAACGAGAGCAGTGTGTTGTTGAAGAGCTGGCGTCTCGCATGTAACACAATCTACTTTAATTACCTTGTAATTAAAAGGGATTTTACAGCAGATTATGCTTTTAGAGCCTAATTATTATTTTTTTTTTTTATTTGTTCATCTTCACCATGCCTTTCTGCATCATTACACTGCTGCCTAGCTGTGTCCAACCTATGCTTTATGCTGGGAAAAAGTTGCTGGAATATATTTCCCTCATAGTTAAGAAACAGAGAGAAAAAACATTTTCTTCTCCAAATTGAATTGATTTTTTTTTTTTTTCAAAGATACAAATATCTTTATAGTGAAAAGAAAAACACTTCAAGGAAACATTTATGATACAATTTTCATACATTTATTTGTCTTCCCATCTCGTAGGAAAAAAACAGCCCAGTTTTCCTTTATTGCTGTGTTATGTTGTTTGTCCTGGAAGGCAGCTGTGCTCAGAGTGCTTTTGTATCCCTGCTGTTGCCTGTCCGCATTGCTCTTGTGTTTCGGGAAGTTATTTTGTTTTCTGTCCCCCTGCACCGCCTGTCCCCCTGCCCGCTTTGTGGCACTCGGTATGCTCATGGTCTTTTGTTTATTGCAGAGAAACCCCATAACGAAACGTCTTTACGAAATCACACTGACATGTACAGTGGTGAGTCAACGCTGGCTTCTGGACACCTTCACGATTTAACCCCTTTCTGCCTAACCTGACTTATCTCCCGCGCTAACCGGGCAGCGAGCTGCCGCGTTCGCAGCATCGCCTGCCCTTCGTCTGTGCCCACGCACCCCCGTGTGTGCCCCTGTCCCCCTTCGTGGGTTGTGGCCTCAACTTTGCAAAAACAGATGGGACAAAACGAGCCAGACAGCGTCAAAATCCACTCGAGGTTTTGACATCTTAAAATTATCGAGTTTTAGGTGAATTAACGGGATATGCAGAGCCCACCTTGAGAGGCATTTGGATTAACAGGATCTGGCCCAGGTGAAAACGTCTGCGTGGCTGAGCGAGCCCAGCTTGTGGCCTCGCTGAAGAGGTGGCTTATCCTCAGCAAAGGCTCATGATTTAAAGATAAGACCCACTATCCCTCTTCTCTCTGTATTCAGAAAGGGCATCTATTATATTTGCAGCTAAACACAGGCAGTGACAGGAAAGAAAAAAACCAACCAACCAACCAAACAAGAGTGTTTGGTTTTCTTATAAGCTGGGTGCTTTGTTTCTTTGTGGTGAGGTTGTACATCTGTTGGATGCTTTTGCAAGGTTCTTGCCCTTTGTCTGGGCAGGGAGATCACCTCGCTGGGAGAAGCCAATCCCAAACCCATAAAATTATGCTTCAGACACAGAACCATGTGGCTCCCTGGGGTGTGACCGCTGCCCTGAGAGTAGGTTGGAAGCACCACGGATGTGATGGTGTGATGGTGGAGTGCGAGGAGAGGAGGACGTGCCAGGCGAGGGCACTGGGTTTGCTGGTCCCAGCGGGCAGCCCGGGCATCCCATCCCCACCGAGGGAACCGAGGTGTTGGCACCTCACCAGGAGCAGGAGCTTTCGGAGGATGCTGGAGAGCTGGGGAAGGCTCAGCAGAGGAGCCAACCTCAGAAGAAGTGGTGGTGGCAGCAAATGGGCTGGGCGTAGTCTGAAAATGTTTTTAGAAATGCCTGTGAAAGGGGATTGCTTCAGTGGGAACCGCGTAAACTGCATCATGCCTCAACGAGAGGCAGGTGAGAGGAGTTGCCTTTCACAGGCATGCAGGGCCAGGGACAAAAGAGAAAACCAGTGGTGAGCTCTCCTATAAATATATTTTGCACCTCAGCAGCATAAACGATGTTGGCATTTCAAAGAGAAAGCCTTCACACTGGCTGGGCACCACTTCTGTGTTCACAGATCTCACCAGTTCAGGAGGGAAAGTCACTGTGGTGATCGTGGGCTTCTTGATCTTCTGCTGCATGTCTTTGTTCAGGGAAAAGGGATGATTAATAGTCACTTGATTAGGAAAATGAGACCTTATCTGCACAGTCTTATAGATTTCTCCAGATTTCTATTTGTAGGTGCGTAGGATAAACTGCCTGCTGTTTGCATTGTTTGGGCTAATTCCACTTTTCCTCTGGAACACGCTGGATCCAGGGGATTCAGATCACCCAGTCATGCCCCTGTGCAAATCTGAGCTCCAACCCGGCAATTTCTTAATAGTTAATGAACTGGTGAAAAAATTCTTACTCTTGGCCCTTTTTCTTTTTGCCAACCCCGTGTTTCTCCCTGGAATGACCTGTCTGGCCGTACTGTCCACTGGAACCAGCCGCAGCAAAGCAAGGACTTAGGGGAAGGGGAGTGGGGATGACGGAGATCAGTCTCCCAAGTATTTTAGGTGTTTGGGACTTGGGGCACTCGGACCCTCTACCTTGGGGTGCTGGTCCCTATGGCACGGGCTCGGCTCCAGCTCCAGCTGGCAAAGGGCAGCTCGACAGGACGGGAGCAGCAGGAGGCTGTGAGTCCCCTTCCCGGGCGGTCTGCGATGGGTGACATGTGCCCGGCCTCACCTCGGGGCCGTGGGACCTGCTGGCGTGGCCGTGGGGCACGAGCAGTTTGGGGGACGTTTGTCTCAAACTGAACTCGAGGGCCAGGTTACTCACGGGGGATGCAACCAAGCCCTTCTCCCCACGGCTTGTAGCGGGTGCAATGATTTCCTTGCTTCAAAGCTCAATTGCCTAAGCAAACTCTCTGCAATTATGAAGGAAAAATGATCTAAAAGGATTAATTGAATATTTTATTAGCGGAAGTTTCTCGCCTTTTTTTTTTAAATGGAAATGAAAGTCTGTTTTGTGCTTTTTTTTTTTTTTCTTTTCTTTTGGCAAACCTGCTGGATGTTTTAAAGCTGGCTAGCTGTGCAGGAGGGGAACAGATGGGATGTGTCTGGATGTGCATATTCCTATTATCGCCTTTCAGTAGAAATGCGAGTTGATGTACAATTTTCAAATGCCGTCAGGTCAGAACTGTGGGGAGGGGGCACTTGGCTGCTCCGGGGTGAGAAGTGGCTGTTCCTGGGATATTCTGTTCACAGCTGAACAGGTCCAGTTTCATAGAGGCAGGGACAACAGCAGCAGTATATTGGAAGCAGAGTCTATTTTTGAGCAGAAATAAATAACCATGGGATTTATTTTTCCAGTTCTGTTCCATCCAAAGAGATGAGTGAGATGTCGCTATTTGTCTGAGAGCTTCCAGCTGTAGCTGCCCCAAGTTCAGAGCTGGAGCAGTACCTCTGCCTGAGAGAATTTCTGGCCGCTCCCTAGTATAAATAGCAAAATATTTATTAGTAGTGCTGTACTAAGGCAAAAAGCTTATCAGCTATGCAGTGGTGTTGTTAGGTTTATTAAACAAGTGGATAGGATACTAATTTATCTCCCTTATTTTTAATTTTCATCATTAATATATGGCTCGTAAAATTTGGCTTGCACTGCTGCTTATCTCTTCTAGTTACGCCCCGGGCTCCTGAGCAAATGGGTTCGTTGTGAGAATGAAGGTGCCAGCCTGTTCAGACAGGCTGCAGACCGTTGGCTAATAAAAGCCAGTATTGGCTTATAAACTAATATCCAACTCTCCTAATCACACGAGAAGTCCGTGAGTCTGGCCGGAGGCGTGGGAGCTGTTGATAACTACTGGCTTTAAACCCAGCCGCAGGCTCTGTCACCCCCACAGAGCCCCGGCATGGGTGGGCTGGTTTTAACCAGGAACGAGATCCTCGCCAGAAGCAGGCAAGCAGACAGCGGCATGCGCCTGCCCAGAGACCTGGCCCTTCAGGGTAAGGTCAAGATTTGCCTGCCCTGGTAATCCATTAATCAAATAATTGACTAACCCGCTGACGAGCACATGCGGACTGGTAACCTTTGGGTGTGGGGAGTGGTGGGATGCGTGTGTGGCCGTGTTCTGGCAGCTGTGGAGTCATTTCAAGGACAAGGTTTAACTCCTGGGGTTGTTTTTTTTTGTTGTGTTTTTGTTTTGTTTTGGTTTGGTTTTGTGTGTGGTTTTTTTGTTGTTGTTGTTTTGGTTTTGTTGTTGTTTTTTGGGGTTTTTTCCCCTTTTGTTTTTTCCCCTGGTCCCCAGCTTTCCCTAAGGCCAGCTGATGGGAACTCCATGAAGAGCCCCTGCCCTCTCTCCTCTCCTCCTTCCCAGCCCTTTTCCCCTTCCAGAGCTCAGGTGGAGGCTTCCCAAATAGACGTGGGCAGCCCCAAAAGCCCCGTGGCGCTGGGCACACCTGGCTGCCTCCTGCTCGCTGAACGAACGAAGCTTTTGGGGCAGCAGGAGAGGGCTTGGTCTGCACCCCAAGATCCTGCTCCTCCCCACGCATCACCTCGGTATTAGTAGTGACCCTGTGCCAACCCTGCCCATTCTGTCCCTTTTCCTAATCTCATAACCTTCATCTCTGCTACTGCTGCTTTCAAGCCCATCTCATCCTGTTTTGTCCTCACTGATCTAAATCTAGTTTAACAATTCCACTTATTAATGGAATTTATTCCATTAATATTTTTTTTTCCCCTACAAAGAGACCTTTGCTGTGTGTATCTGTAGAGAGTTGTCTTGTATGTCTTCCCATGTTTTTTTTCCCCGTTGAACTTTCCTGTCTAGTCCTGAAATTTGTCATTTTGGTCGCTAATTTGTTCCTTTCCAAAGGTCCTTGAGGTCCTGCAGCTCCTAGTAAGGGTAGCAAACCTCCTTGGTGCTGCTAAAGCCCCAGACAGCGCCGAGATCCTCCATATTTTGGAGATGTCTATGGCAAAGCAGCTCAGTTGTCCGAGTACACCCATCCTGTGCCCGTTTGCTCCTTTTGTCCTTCATTACACATTCTGTCCATCAGTATTTCCAAGTCTCATCCAATTTCAGCCCATTTCTTTGTAGTAGAGGCAGGGGTGGGCAGGAAAGGTGCTGCCTCGGTGGGAGCTGATGGTGTGGGGATGTTTCTGATGCACCATCCCCGTGGCTCAGCTCCCTCTGCCCATCCTCTGCTGTCTCATTACCTCCCTGCCTGCCCAAGCATCCTCTCTCTACCCTTTTTTTTTTTTTTTTTTTTAAACTTTAAAACTTAAAATTACCTTGAGCTCTTCTCTAATTTCCAGGTACATTTCTAGATGAGTTCAGTATTCCAGGCTTGGCCAGGAACTTGACAGCTTCCCCCTGAAAACACCGTGTATTTCTGGCCCTGTATGTTCCCTCCCTGTTGCTGCAGCAAAGGAGAGTTTAAAAGTATTTTGTTTTGTTTGTTTTTTTTTTTTTTTTCTCTCCTGCTGATTTCAGCCCGAGGGATTACAGAAACAACTCCCAGCTTCATGTATCCCTACGGGACCTCAAGCAGTCAGATGGTGCTCAGAGGGGTGGACCTCTTGCTGGAGTGCATTGCTTCAGGAGTGTACGTACCGCTTCCCAGCTGCTGGAGATGGGGACGGGGTGGTCCCCAACAGTGCCCGGTGGGATGGCCTGGGACCAGGATGCTGTGGAAATAATTCTGGCTAGGGAAAGGGATTGTTCCCTTCCCTTTAACTACTATTAACAATACTCTCACAACCCACCCGAAGCATAAGAGCACAGAGCAAACAGGGGAGCTGAGTTTTGCAGCACTGTTCAGAGAAGCAGTGTCTTCAGATACTGGCTGTCCAAGGATAATTCCTTACTGTTTTGTCCTGGAAGCAATTTGCAAATCTCTTGGGTGTTCCTCACCACATTGTATGAACTGCGGGCAAGGACATTGGTAATCCTGGGCTCGGGTCAGGCTTTGGCAGCCCTTCTGGGGGGTGCTGCCTGCACACGCTGCCAGCCCAGCGCTTTACATCCCCAAACATGAGGCAAGAGATGGACTCTGCTCCTGACCAACTGGTGCTGCTCAGGGTCCTGGTTTAGGGGCTGTGGTAGGAAGGAGGGTGGCCCAGCAGTTGGATCAGTCCTTCTCCCTGGGTGTGAATCATTTCAAGTGCAGGGTTATCAACTGTTTTCTTAGGAGTAATTTTCTTGTCTTGCAAAAGCATTTATCTCCTCCCCTCTCCTTAGACCAGCACCAGACATCATGTGGTACAAGAAAGGAGGAGAGCTCCCAGCAGGCAAAACCAAGCTGGAAAACTTTAACAAGGCTCTTCGTATCTCCAATGTTTCTGAGGAAGACTCCGGGGAATATTTCTGCTTGGCGTCGAACAAGATGGGCAGCATCCGCCACACGATCTCGGTGAGAGTGAAGGGTACGTCATCTTTACCTTGCCATCTTTTTTACCCTCACAACCAGAAACTGTGAGGGGATGTGCGTGGGAGGGGATGCTCCGATCAGCTGAAAGGGCTGGTGGGGTTTGTCTCTGTGCTGTATCCAGCCATACTTGCTGCTTGTCCAAACTGACCTAAAAGTAGTGTGAGATGTGGTCTCAGCTGGTGTAACTCGGCGGAGCTTCACTGACATAAGTGGTTGTGTTTTTATGTGGCTGAAGACAGGGGGGAAGAGGACTGTCCAACCTCACTGCACTCGAGAGGATGGCATTTTCATTGTCTTAGTTCAACAGGGAACAGCAGAGAGGGGATTCTGGATGAGGTGGTAACTGCTGCATTAATAACTGGTGCATTGGTGTGTTTTAAAGCTGCTCCATACTGGTTGGATGAACCCCAAAACCTCATTCTGGCCCCTGGTGAGGATGGCAGGCTGGTGTGTCGAGCCAACGGGAACCCCAAGCCTGCGATACAGTGGCTGGTGAACGGCGAGCCTATAGAAGGTGAGCAAGGGAGAGTCTGTGCCTCCTTTACAAGAAACCTAGCCAAGGATCTCATGGCTGACCAAGAGAGCCAGAGCTGCTGTCGGGGTCCCAGGCACCCTGCTGAGCAGTGTGTGTGGGCTCCAGCATTGCAGCACATAAACCACCTGCTTGTCTGAGATAAGGCCAGTTGAACCCTGTCTTTGTAGACTGGGGAGGCCACGTACCATCGTCTGATTTTATGTGGGCTGGGAGGGAAAGATGCATAATGGTATTGTCTTGTGAATTTTAATTTAAAATTTAATTTAAAGAGTGCTCTCTGCTTTGAAGCTTCTCCCCCCAACCCAAGCCGAGAGGTGTCTGGAGACACCATTGTATTTCGAGATACCCAGATTGGCAGCAGTGCCGTGTACCAATGCAACGCGTCCAATGAGCACGGCTACCTTCTCGCCAACGCCTTTGTCAGTGTCCTGGGTAAGCACTTGTGGAAGATGAACACCTTATACTCAAGTTTTCCCTGCAAGAGTTCTCTGCTAGCTTTCCTCTTTGTTCTTAGCTACTCTGAGGCTAACGCACATGGTACATGACCTCTGCAACCGGGCTTTGGAGCAGAAGTCTATTGCCATGGACCTGCAAAGCCAGGCAAGGCTGAGCAAGTCCTGTTGGTGCTAAGACGTAAGATGTTCATATAGTGAGGCTAGAAAGGGAAGGAGAGATTAGAGGGAATGGAAAAGCTCTACTGAGTCTTGAAAGTGCTGACAAGGAAGAGAGAACAAAAGAGAGGGGAAGGTGGATGAAAAGACGGGAAAGGGAGTGGCAGGAACCACACTGGTTTCTTTTCTTTCTCAGTGGCTGTGATTTTTGCTGTTTGCAGACGTGCCTCCACGGATACTGGCCCCCCGCAATCAGCTCATCAGGGTCATTCAAAACAACAGGACCCAGCTCGACTGCCCTTTCTTTGGCTCACCGATCCCCACCTTGAGATGGTAAGAGCTGCAGCACGTCCCCTGCTAGTCCAAAGGGGTGGGAAGGGGAGGTTTCCTGCTCTTTCTTCCCTTACAATAGCACTTTGTGGTGTTGTGAGGTTTAAGAATGGCCAGGGGAACACGCTGGATGGAGGAAACTACAAGGCCCACGAGAACGGGAGCTTGGAGATGAACATGGCTCGGAAGGAGGACCAGGGCATCTACACCTGCGTCGCCACCAACATCCTGGGTAAAGCGGAGGCCCAGGTTCGCCTGGAGGTCAAAGGTAGGGGCAGGAGGGGCTCTAGGTCAAAATGTCTCTTGGATCTTCTCAGACTTGCAGCAGAAATAATAATTTAGGTTAAGGGAGGGTTGGTTTTGTGCTCCAGCAGTCTGTCAGCAAGACAAGCACTACGTAATTTGGAGCTGGAACCCAGAAAATGGTAGATTCCCTTTTAACATTGGGAAAAAATCAAAGCTGTGGATATACTGAAGCTGTAGAAGGGCTTGGTGTGGATATTGAGCTCTGAGATGCCATAAGCAATGCAAAAAGAAATATCAAAGTGTTCCTTAGGGTTAACTGATGGCGACAAAATATTTTCTGAATCAAGCTTCCGCTGAGGCTTTCCCTGTTCAGCAAAACTGATTGCTGACTCAGAAAACTGGGTCGTTTTTTAAAGGGCCAGCTTGAATTAATGGCTTCTTAAATCAGTTTATTTGCAAGCACTATAGCAAACTGGACAAACACTTGATGTGCATCCTTGTCCTTTCCAAGTAACACCACTCTTCACTGAGTTCCTGTGCTGAGAGCCAGCAGCTTGGTGCCCAACACTTTCTTTCTGACTTTGTGCAGACCCAACCAGGATTGTGAGAGGACCAGAAGATCAAGTGGTGAAGAGGGGCTCCATGCCTCGCCTCCACTGCCGAATAAAACACGACCCTACACTGAAACTCACAGTCACCTGGCTGAAAGATGACGCACCCCTGTACATCGGAAACAGGTCTGTGTTTAAGTTTCCTGGGTCTTCTCTCCCAGGATTGTCTGACTTTTTACGTTTCAGGAATCACCAGGGATAATGTGGATAAACATCAAGTTCCCACCTAGGCAACATTTGCTGTTCTTGATGCTTTTAATGTTAGTAGCTCCTTCCAACAGACACTACCTAGCAATTAAGACTGACTTGTCAGTAAATCAAGACTTTGACTATAGGTTTTACAGTTATTTTGGGACATCTTGATAAAACAGGTCGATGAATAATAAGCTACTTCAAAATTAAAATTTATCTGCTGTGAGTTCTACGGTTGTAATTTCCTTTCTGTAGCCGACTCCCTTCTCGTGAAGTGAGATCAGATCACAGGACATGAGACAGTCCGAGGTCAGACTCTTTTCCTAAAAGTGGGATTATTCTAGATATATACCAGAGCATACTTGCCTATTCCTTAGGAAATGAGGTTTCCAAGAATAACTCAACACGTCCTTAGCTGATAAAATCATCAGACCACAGACATACTCCTGTTCTGTTTGGGCTTTTATATGTATTTTATGAGAGAACAGTTAGACCTCAGTCCTGCTGCCTAATGTGCCTAGGTACAGTTTTGTGATTATTGCTTTCATCCCTTTAAGGATGAAGAAAGAAGATGATGGTCTGACAATATATGGCGTGGCTGAAAAGGACCAAGGGGATTATACCTGCATAGCTAGCACAGAGCTGGACAAGGACTCGGCTAAAGCGTACCTCACCGTGCTGGGTAAAGCTGTCCTCCCAAGGCACTGACACAGAGCAAAGTGGTTTGTTTTTAATACAACAGACTGACTTCAAGGTCAGGCTGAAAGGGTCATCTGTGATCACAGAATTGTCCTCTGAAGCAGAGATGTTCAGGGAGATGCTGGCAGAGCAATTGTTCCATTGCTGCAGGACTCGGCAAGGACGTGCTGTCTAATCTCGGACTCAGAAAATGGCATTGAATTTGAGTCAAAGAAAAACTTGCATTGGAGACAAAAAGAGTAGCTATTACATAGAGCTAAAAATATCCAAATGTGGACATTGAACCTCTGTGAGAACAGTCCTAAATTTGCAAGTGAATTTAACTGAATGTCATGACGGGTGCTGAGCAGCATTGGAAATCCGGGGGTGAATGAGCCACTCCTTGCCTTGCAGGTCCCTCTTCTCATCACAGGTAGTGAGAAACCTAAGCCCGTTCCCCCTACACATTTATGTACAATGTGAAATCGTACTTGCAAAACACAGATTTATCAATCCCTGCTCTTGGCCACCTCAGATCTTGCTGACGCGCTGCATTCACAGGAGTGCCCCAACCTCCCAGTGCCGCTGGCATAGACCCACAGTGCCCTACAAAAGTCAGAGTGCAATATGAATCCCATATCCCTAATAATGTGACTAGGCTTGATTTATTTCCCTTCCTTTTCCCCTAATAGCTAATTAACTTTACAGCAGGCTGATGCTTCCCCTTTTGCTGTGTACCAGACGTATGAATAAAGGTGCACGGAGCCTGCCTGGAGGTCTCTGGGGGAAGGATGAACCTATTCTGGTCCCCAGCCAGGACTGGATCCTTCTGAAATCTGTAACTCTGTGTGTAACTTTATATTTTGCCAGGTGCTCCTCTGGCCACCCAAGCTTAATGACTAACCTAACACCGTTAACAACCAATGTCTTACCTTGCAGCTGTCCCTGCTAACCGTTTGAGAGACTTACCAAAAGGTAATCATCACTAATTCATTTTGTTCATTTTATTTTGTAAATTGATTTTGTTTCGCCTTGCCAATAACACCAACAGAAAATCTAGGTGTAACGGCTGACAAAGCTGGGAGCTGATGCTTCCAAGTCCTGTCCAAGTTGTCCTTGAAAACTCATCCAGATGCCTGCGGGTAGAAAGGTCCTGTGCCACATAATTTTGTGTCCCACAGCGCCAATTCCTGAGTGCAAGAGTCACTTTACCCGTACCGGGAAATGGTGAGCCCAGATGGGAAAAAAAAAATACCACATTGAATCCCTTGACCTTCACCTGGAAAGAAGTTATTACTGTGACTGTTATTGCATGAGCTGGTTCTGTGCGACCATGTGGGTTGTGACCAGATAAAGAAATCAGAATTGTGCCCAGAGCATTTCTAAGAAGTGTGTATTTTCATTGAGGCTTTGTGTCCTTTCTATTCTATTTGTTTGCATTTGTTTTTTTGGACAGCTGTGTATAGTTTGTTGTAAGACCATATATCCCCCTGCTAAGCCACTATAGTGTGCATCCACCACCAGGTAACATCAGTTGTACAGGGAGCAGGTAGGGTTTCAAGGCAAGGCACGATTAGTACATGAGCACATTTGTATTTAAAAAATTGCACTGGTCCACCGAGAGCTGCAGGACGTGAATTGTGCTCCAGAGCACGTGTCCTCCCGCGGGTCTGGGCTAAGATGGCCAAGGCTTCCCCTCCCGGGAGAAGCGATGGGAACTGGGGCTCCCAGCTCCTGGGACAATCCCAGACTGATTTGTCTCGTTACTCGGCCAACAGAACGACCCGACCGGCCCCGTGACTTGGAGCTGACAGACCTGGCCGAGAGGACCGTGCGGCTGACGTGGATTCCCGGCGACGACAATAACAGCCCCATCACAGGTCAGCCCCTGGACCCTCTGCCCTGCGTCCCTCCTGCTTACTTCTGCACGGTGGAGGGAAAAGCTGAACCCTTAACTCCACCTCTCCCCCAGACTACATCGTCCAGTTTGAGGAGGACCGGTTCCAACCTGGCATGTGGCATAACCACTCCAGATACCCCGGGAGCGTCAACTCGGCCGTCCTGAGCCTCTCTCCTTACGTCAACTACCAGTTTCGGGTGATTGCGGTGAACGACGTAGGCAGCAGCCTGCCCAGCATGCCCTCCGAACGGTACCAGACCAACGGGGCACGTGAGTACCATCCGCCCGGTCTTGACTGGACATTGTTCTTAGCATCTGGCCACCGCTCTCGGTGTAGGCTCATCTCTCGTGGTGTATGATCACAGCTCCTGTAACAGAAACACATTTACACAGGCGAGGGAATGAGCTGGTCCATGCAGTCATGTGCTGGGGTGTAATTTTATATATCACATCCTTAAGCCCACGACTTAATTCTGCAGAGCAGCAAAACTCAGACAGAAAGATTGATGCAAAGGTCACTCCAGCAGAATCTGTTGAAGGAAAACCCGGTTTCACCTTACAGAGCTTTCTAAAGCAAGTCTTTCATCCTCCCTGACCACAGGAAGCTCAGAAGTCTCTTGGAAAATTAGACTCAAGTGTGAACTGGCCAAAAGCAAAAGGTATTTTGTTCCAAAATTGCTAATTCATTGTCCACTGCTAGAGCTGGCCAGGAGCCCAGATCGATGCAGGAGTAAGGTGTGCTCCAGTCCACGACCAAGACTTGGGTCTTCAGTTTGTGTGCCCAGTGCTTCGTACGTTACAGAATACTTGGGAAAATTCATATGAGGAATTCACATGAAGCTTAGTAGTTTTGCTGCATTTCTTAATTTAACCATTGCAGATATACTTCTGCAACATCTACTGGCATCTAGTGTTGGCTTTCGACATTGCTGCTCTTGTTTCAGATTTCAAAGTGTCAGACTCTGCTCCCGGGGTTGCTTCACAATGGCTGCCTTTCAGAGATTTAGGACATTTTGAAAAAAAAAAAAAAAAAAAGAAAGTAAAAAAAAAAGGCTCCTAAATAAATGGCCTGGTTTTCAAGAGTGCCGAGAGTCTCATGTTCCATTAACCTGAATGGGAACTTCTGGAAAAATCAGGCCATTAACTTCTGTCTTGGAAGTACTTCTGGCTTGCACAGTAAAGGGTTTTTAACCACTCAAATGGTCATTTTTCAAGAATATGAACTGCATTAATTTTTTTCTAATGTGAATTTCAGGTCCTGAAATTAACCCAACAGGAGTTCAAGGTGCAGGGACCCAAAAAAACAACATGGAGATAACCTGGACGGTGAGTTCTTTGGTGCTTGGCAGCCACCCAGCATCTTACCATGTTAAGAGGCAGAAAACTCAGCATCACTAACACGGGTGATGTACCACACAGAATACCATAACCTTAATGATCATAAAGGAAATAAAAATCAGAAGTTGCATCTACAGGAGAGGCCATTGTTAGTGCCTTGAGAAGGTTTGTGATAAAAATGGTAATTTGCAACTGCGTAAACCAAAGAAAATATGCTGGATTAGGATGCTGGTTAGGGAGGATGCTCAGAGAGTCTGGCTCCTTAAGCAGTATGTAGGGCTTAGAGACCAGCTCCTGCTTTTCTTTGTGGACCAGCAGGTGTCATTCACAAATAAGCCAGCATCTGTAAGGAGGATAGAAATTGCAGTGGGAGTATAGACTGGAATATAAGGATATGGTTCTCGGTCCTGCCTTGGGCCTGGAGGGCAAGGACTAGGTATGTGTCTGGGAACAAAAGTATTGACCTCCTTTGAGATTTGCTGATGGAGCATGAAATAAGAACCAGCTGCTGAACAGAACTTTTGGAAGCTCCATAGCAGAAAAATACAGTTGCTCTTTCTCCTTCTCACTTTCTTTTTCTGTTTGGGTCCATTAAGCCTCTGAACGCAACTCAAGCTTATGGGCCCAACCTCAGGTACATCGTGAGATGGAGGCGAAGGGACCCCCGAGGGAGCTGGTACAACGAGACAGTGAAGACACCAAGGCATGTTGTCTGGAACACCCCCATCTACGTACCCTACGAGATCAAAGTGCAGGCAGAGAACGACTTTGGCAGAGCCCCGGAGCCTGACACCGTCATCGGCTATTCAGGGGAAGATTGTGAGTACTTTCTCAGCCAGAGATCGTGTTTCAGGGCAGGATCCCACCCAAGGTCAGTGGGCTGGCACCTGTGCCCGGGACACGTTCATAGCACTGCTTGATTTGGCACAAAAACCCAGTTCCAGGCATTGGGAAAAAGAGGCTTGGCCATGAGATTCTGTTCTGGGCGCTGCCTGCACGACCCAAGTCACTCAGCCTCTCCCTTGCTCTCTGTAATACCTAGATAACACTTTGAGTGTGGAAGACAGTGAGATTTCACTTAAGATGAGCTCTGGCTGTACTCCAGTAAACCACATTAAATATTTTGCCCCTGACATCTGTAGGGCACTGCATTCATCTTGAATGAGAGGTGCTACGAATGGCCAAAAGGGCCTTGGTTCATCCTGGACTGGATTCTTGTGCCTCTTTGATAAGGCCCCAGCTTGGGCTCCTGTTTGCAACACACCATTTGCTCAGCTGATCTTTCTTTAAAACTCTCCACCTGGTCACGCAGAACAGCAGCCAGCTTGTTTAACTCTTTTCACCTTCTTTCTGGGCTACTGGTACCACCTTCTGTGCCTGCAGCATCCAAGATTCTGAACTACAATTATCCTTATTCTGTTAGGATAATGTGGTTTGCTGCCAACAGCTTTATTTTTAAAGAAATATATATCATCAGTTCCTTGCATTGCAGCATCAGTGGGGTCCCTGGCTGCGTGACTTCAGGATTACCAAGAAGTAAGGCAGATAAGCCATGATGCTAGGTTTGAAGTCAAAGGGGCACAAACAGGGCATAACAATTTTGCATATTTGCAGTCTTGGTGCCGAAATAGCATGCACGACACATCCTCCACCTGGGCATCTTCTCCCAGAGGAGACAGGGCAATGGGAAGGAAAATGGGCAGAAACCGTGGGAGTCAGGGTGAGAGCTGAGCACTGGAAACAAAGCTGGACCTGGCTGGGAGGCCGTCACTGGGAAAGCTCTACAAGTGCCCAGCTGCACCATCATCTCTGCATTACCAGTCTTTGGACTCCCAGGGTGGGGTTTTTTTCCTGCTTCAGTTGATAACTATGGGGCTGAACATGTGTGCTTTACATGGAGGTAAACCAGGGAGACCCCAAGCTGCCGTATCACACCCCAGACACAAATGTTTTTCTGCCTGTATCCCAAGGGGTGGGACAAGTTAAAAAAAACCCCACAAAACAAAACAAAAAAACAACCAAAAAAACCCTAAAAAACCCCAAACCAAACAAAAAACAGAGTCCCTGCCTTATTGTATCTGAATTGCTTCACAAATAACTGCAGATTTCTACATACAAGCAGGTGACCTCTTAAGGGGAGGTAAAAAACCCAACCGGATCAACAGCAGGTTCTGGCCAAATTGAGATTAATGGATGTGAAAATCACAGGTATTTTTGTAACTCTGGGATCTAACAGGGGCCAGCCACTGGCAGCAGGAGGGGGGCTGGGTTTGCTGGTACCCTTCACTTGGAGAGGAAGGTGAGCCAGACCTTGCTAACGTGATCTCTTGCAGCAGCTTGTAGGAAGCCCTGCTATTAACTGGATCACAGATATTTTCATGATAGCTGGCTGAGTGAAATACGGGGATTTTTTTTTTTTCCCCCCTCTTTCCTGTGGAAGCACTGCTAAAAAAACAACAGTCAACTTTTAAAGCATGCACAGATCAGGGAAAAATTGAGGGGGATGGAGGTAAGTGATGCCATGCTGTGTATTTGCGTGGTCATAGGGTCTGCTCACCACAAATGAGGGCAGCCAGGAAGCTGAGAATTGGCCTGTCGCTGCTGTTTTATTTTATCAAGGCTGAAAACCCTCAGAAATGGAATATAAGGAGGGAGAAAAGGAGGTGATTATCCCCATGAAATCACTGCTGGCAGACAGCAGATGGCAGAGCTGACATGCGGGGCCGCTGCTTGCCCGGCAATGCTGCGATGGGAAAACCATGGCAAGGGGGGCAGAGGGGTGTCCGTCTGTCTGTCTGACCTCCGGGGTACCACGAGGTACCTAACGTACACTCTGCTTTATCCCTGAACGCTCAGATCCCAAGGCTGCGCCTACGGATGTTAGGATAAGAGTTTTAAACAGCACTGCCATTGCTCTGACCTGGACCCGAGTGCACCTGGACACCATCCAGGGACAGCTCAAGGAGTACAGAGTGAGCAAAACCAAACCTCTTCGGCACTGAATTAATCCAGCTAACCCTCTCACAAGCCGAGGTGGCCCCGGTGATGGAGCTGCCAGTGATGGGGATGACCAAAAACTCTCCCCCGGCCATTGTGACCCTTTTGCCAGGGCTGGGTGCAGACCGCGGGGGCTGAGCTCTGCTCTGGAGCAGCACCAGAAATGAAGGGTCTTGGTTTGCTCTTTGTGGTGCCTGGACGGGGCTGGGGGGACATCTCATCTCCCGTTGCTCCCCCAGGGCTCGGTGCTGGGCTGGACCTTCCCAGTGCCTGCCCCCAGGATTTGGGGGGGGGCTTGCCCTTGTGCACCCAGAGAGGGACTTGGGGTGGTCCAACCCATGCAGCAAGGTGGCTCTTGGCTCCAGAGCTGCCCAGAACCATGGGCTGGTTGGCTCTGGGGGGAACGGCCTCAGACAGGTACAAACGGGCTAGTTTTTGGGTCATCCCCAAAGTACCTACATCATATTTTAATAAACACCAACCCCTGCAAAGCCTAAACCCTGTGGTTCGTACTAACTGGCAACTAAAGACAGCATGGATCCTGCTGTGGTTTGTTGTTGTTGTTTGGTTTTTTTTTTTTTTTTTTCTTTTAATATTGAATATTTGCTGCTAAGGTAAAATACTAGTGTTTATGTACAGAGGACAGACCCTGTTCAAAACAAGCTAAAGTCTGGACAGAGCCCCTTCGATCAGTTTAAGACGTTACCAAAAGCATGTATCCTGCAAACAGTTACAGCATTTCAAATCCAATAATCCGCTGGGCATAAAGCAAGCTCCCTGGGTACTGCTTTCATTCTTTCTGCCTCTGCTCTGTTATTCTGGTCTATTTGCCGAATGAATCTTATTTCTGTATGAAATAAGATTTACAGTCGGGGCTTTGAATGGGAGACATTCCCAGTTCAGACTTTCCTTTGTGCCTGGACGCGTCCCACCTTTCCTTGTACACTGCTACGGTACTACTCTGGGTAGAAAGGGAGAGTCTCTCGATGATCTTGGGAACCAGAAACAGCTCTTTGTAGTCTAAGCTTCGTGGTTTTGCTCTTTGACCTCTGGTAAACCCTTAACCCCGTGCTCAGCCTCTTCCTCGGGTAACACCACTGACCTGCCTCGCTGGGGGTACACAGAGCTTCATTAATTGCTCTAAAAAGGTTTCTGCAGCTGAGAGCTGCTCTTTGGAAAGGCAACATTTTGCTATGCTTTGTTAATGAAAGAACAATTGCAGTTAAATGGGAAAAGCTTCACTTGCCATGCATGTTTCTTGAAGGCCTATTTCTGGAGAGACAGTAGTTTGCTGAAGAACCTGTGGGTCTCCAAAAAACGGCAGTATGTGAGTTTTCCTGGAGACCGAAACCGGGGCATAGTGTCCCGGCTGTTTCCTTACAGCAACTACAAGCTTGAGATGGTTGTAACCAACGGGAGAGGAGATGGGCCACGCAGTGAAGTTAAGGAGTTCCCCACACCAGAAGGAGGTACGTTCCCGGGGGGGTTGTGCAGGCACCCACCCCTCAGGCGCGGGCTGGGAGAGGTTTGGGTGGTTCAGCTCTGCAGAGAGGACCGGGAGCCGCACCGCTCTGCGGCAGAGCCGTGGTGCTGCTGGGGACATGTGCTAGGGACAATTTTTAGCTGAGCCTGGGCAGCATCTTCTGGGCAGCATCACTGTCACACGGCACTGCTGTACGCCTTCGTCACCGCGGGGCAGGTGATATCTCCGCAGCTACACCTAGAGCTAGCTATCGGTGCTGTCTCATCAATCTAAAAATCCCCCTCAGGTCCTTTGAGCACATCAGCAAGTAGCTCTTAGGCTGAACAAGAGAAATGTTTGCAAAGCTTCTTCAGAGGCACAGCACCGTGCCCTTGGTTTGCTGCCTGACCTGCAAATGTCACCTCACCTCCCCATGCTGCGGGTCAGTGAAATGGGAGTGTATATATTCATCTTGCTCAGTGAAAGGCAGTAAAATCTCCGTAAGACCTAAGTACTTTTGTTCTGAAAGGATGTCACTAATACCCATCAGGCTTTTAAGGCAAGAGCGCCTCGTTCTGCTGTTTAAAGAGCTTGTGTCAAGGATGAACTTGAGATTTTAATTTTCTTGCTGTCACAGGAGCTATTTATAGACACACCAGTAAGTTTTTGTTGGAGCTGCACTTTCAGTGGCTGGCAATGAATCTTTCTATAGCACAGATGTTTTTGGCACAGTATGTTACAAAAATGCAAGAGGAGAAAACAGAGGCTGAAGGCAAATCCTGTCTCAACTAACACAAAATCCTATGGGGTCTTTCTCTTCCTCTTATTCCTGCTACACAAGAACAGCATCTCTCAGTCCTGTCTCTCTTCCTTAACATTTTCTTGGATGCTGTCACCATTTCCTAAGGATTTTCAATTCATTTGCCGTAATTAAGCTTGTTTAAAAAGAAAGGACTCTGTTCCAGCAAAGTGGTTTTGCAATCAGGTGCATTTTGATTGAGCCACTTACATGTGTGTTAGAGGCACGGAGCATTTGGGGTAGCTGTATGCCTATGTGGGAGGCACCAATTGAAACAATTATAGTGGATTATACTCTTGTCATAAGGAAACTGTTGATTTTTTTTTTTTTTTTTTCCCCTGATACCACTAAGCTATTTTATCGGCTGTATATCAACATTTAGGAGACTGAATGATACTCTGCAAAACTTCTGTTTCAAAAAAAAAAAATCAATCACTAGTCTCTCAGATCAGAGCACCAAGTTCTTTCCCCAGTCAAGACACCGCAATTATGAGTAAACCAGGAGAATAATTTAATTCGAGAATGTATAATGCTTTCCTTCCTTTACTAGCTTTGAATAAGCAGTCGTAAAAGCAGCCATTCCTCAGGGTAAGGACCAGTGTATGCTTGCACCAGCTCCCTGTTACAGACCTCTAGACACTAATAACACAAAGATGCTTTGCGATAAGAGAAGCTGCTATCCTATTTTGCCCCGTTCCAACAGATAACTAGATGAGATGTTAAGTGTTGGGCTGGGTGGGGGCTGTAAGCAAGGACCAGTAAAGTACGTGTACAACGTACAGAAGTGGGACTTGAACTCTGCCACAGCTCCGCTTCACGGCTGCAGCATCTTTGGTGGGTGTCTCGCCGAGCTACGCGCCGGAGGGCAGCAGTGCCCAGCCAGTGCGGGGCTGGGGCTGCACGTGGAGCTGCTCCAGCTTCTGCTCCCTGCACACACGCTGCTGAAAACCCTGGGCTGGCGCATGGTTTCGGGCACAGATTTCTCGTTCGATCAGTTTCTGACCTTTAGTGTGTGTGTGTGTGTGTGTGTGAATGTCTTGAGTGTATCAGTCAGCCTGCAATGTAGACAGTATTGTAAGGTATGTTATCTTGTATGTTTTTTCTTCTTTCCCTCTCCTTCCTGGTCCCATCCTCCTCCCAAGTGCCCAGCTCCCCCAGGTATTTAAGAATCCGACAGCCAAATATGGAAAGCATCAATCTGGAGTGGGATCACCCAGAGCATCCCAATGGAGTCCTCACAGGATACAACCTTAGATATCAAGCCTGTACGTTCCACGTGTTATCTTCTTAGTGATGATAATTAAGTCATTAAATATTTTCCTTGCTGCTAGTTACCTACTCGCCTAGCACAGAAAGCTCTTGGTAAGGAACTGGAGCTTTTCATCACAAGATGAGACGTGCTGGCGTTGAGAGAGGAGCCCTGGAGCAGTGCTGGGCAGCTGCAGTTAACCAGGGAGGGGGGGCGGGTGCTCAGCAGTTCTCCAGGCTTGACCATTGAAGGGAAATAAGTTTGATCTCAGATTTAAAAAGACTTTTAAGTGCAGTCTGAGTAGTTTGTGCTCACTCAGGCACAAGCTCCCGGCTGTAGAAGAGGTGCTGCCTGGAGTGCAGCACGTTCTGCAGAGCCCAGTGCAGTACAGCCTTCTCCGAGCCCCTGGCACTTGTGCTGTGTCCTTCCTCGACCACCTCTACGACCCTGAATGTCCCTTCTGGCAGGTTCCCCCGGCCAGTAAGTCACCAACTGCCCCAAATATATTTAACAGCACCTAGAGCTCTGAGCATCTGTGGCTCCACACCAACTGCAGGGTCCGGTCCTGGGGGCGAAGTGACAAGGTAGATAGATAGCACATCTCTGAAACAAGGCTGAAGCCACCACGACCTGCCTTTCCTCCCCAGTTAATGGATCCAAAATGGGCCGAACCCTGGTAGAGAACTTCTCTCCCAATCAGACAAGGTTCACCCTGCAGAGGACAGACCCCATCTCACGTTATCGCTTCTTCCTGCGCGCACGGACCCAGGTGGGAGAAGGAGAAACCCTAGTGGAGGAGTCGCCAGCCTTGCTGAACGAAGGTATGTGCAGCAGCAACAGCTTCTGGCTCTGCTGCGGGGCTGGGGGGTGACGGTACATGTGTGAGCCAAAAACTGCAGGTCAGAGAATCAGGTGGTCCACAGAGCAGCCAGTAACTGGTGTGCAGGTACTTTCTGCTGCACAGATAGGTAGGTGACTGACCAGGACTGAATATTGCAGCAGAAATGCTACCAAGGTGACTGAGGGGACTGTTCCGTGCTCTCGGGAACCATCTTGCTGACCCCCAAGCAATCAGGGTTCCTCAGGTGTTCCTGGAGCAGGAGAGCATCTTGCTCTCATCTTGCAAAAGGTGGAGCTCTAATCTGCCCCTCTGCAATCTCCGTCGGAGCTAAATAAGGGGCAGATGTGGGTGATTTTTACATGGCTCGAAGGGGGTGAGGCAGCTGCACCCTCTGGGCCGTGAACCCCAGGCAGGGGCTGCGGTGCCACCTCCCTGTCACCCCATAACCAGCAGCTGACCTGACCCTCCAAAGTGAAGCCCCAACTCCCACATTCATAATAAGATAAAATGCCCATTGTGGAACATTCATCAAACTAAGTGAAAGTTCCGGAGCCCTAAGGGAACTCAGGGAGACAAAAGCTGGCTCTTTCCTTTCCTTAGAATTTGCTAAAAGACCTATGATTTGGTTAGCACTCTGATTTAACGGGGTTTTTGTCTCCTTTCCTCCATCTCCCCCTCCCTAACTAATGGCTCTGAGTAGGAAAAGTAATTCCTACTGATGACCCAGTGGAAATGAAATGCTTCCTGACACCTCTTAGGTGGGCTCCAGCATTGCTAATTGATGTGACAAGACAGGAGATGGGGCTGCATACGCCATGGGGAAAAAAATCAGCTAAATCACACCCTGGAAAACACAAGAGGGGGCATGTCATTGCTTTAAAAAGGAGCTTTGCTGAACAGACTGTTTGAGCACATGGATTGGATTGAAGTTGTCGGTGCTGATAGTCAATAGTTCTAGTTATTTCATATGCATTTGCTTTGCTGGGTTTGTTTCTATACACTGATAACAGCACCTGTTAGCAGAGAGCAGCTAAATAATAGCCACGGTCCTGCTCCAAGGCCTAGCGTTCGTTTCCATGTTATCTCTCCTGACATCAACCAACTGTTTTATTATATTGCTTAATTGATTTGTATCAGGAAATACCAGGTACGGTGTATGCCGGGGTGACAAGGTAAGGGTCCCTGCCGGCGGGGTCGGGGGATGCGGTGGCACCCAGTGCTCCCCGGCTGCCCCTGCCCAAGGGACGAGCTGCTGCCGCTTGGCAAAAGGACAAAGCCTTGGCTGTTAAGCACCAAGAAAAAAATAAAGTAGATTACAGTCTGAAGTTACAGAAATCTGGCAAAGTTTGACCTCAAACCACGAGACCCTGAGGTACGACCTGACACAGGCGAGTTCTGTTAACGACAGGCGTGTAAGTGCGATTAGCAGCAATAAATGGCCACTTCGGTAAGAAGGCACCCCTGAAAAGCTATGTGGAAGATGTTTGGAATCAAAAAAAAAACCAAAAAAGGCAGAATAAGAAAATTAACCCCCATTAATACACTCAGAGGTTGTTTTCTGCTTGCCAGGTTCATTCACGTGAGAAGTTTAAATAAAACGCATCTCTCTGTTCTGTGCCAAGGGCTCCAACCCACCCAAGGCAGGATGAGCACCGATGTTAGGATTACACTAGAAAAGCTGAAGTGAAATTCAGAGTGTCAAAACCAGTCCTTGCTGGGATTAGATATAAGCACCTGCTTAAGCACTTTACTTAATTGACACCACTGGCATCTCTGCTGTGGAGCTGGTGTGTGTTTAACTGGTAATTTCCATCTCCAAGGGGACATCCCTGCTCTCTCTGCCCTCTGGAAGTTGCTCTGATGCACGGAGGGTGACAGGTTGTAGCTAATGCATTTATTTCCTCTCTTTCAAGTCTCTGGTGACTGTGTGCAAGTGGTCCCAAGTCTCTTGTTTGTGTGTTCTGGTTGTTTTATATATTCCTCTGTTTTCTCTTCCTTTCTTTTCTATGCTCTCCTCGTATTCCCCTCTTTATCCTTGGCGCTGCCCTCTGAAGCCACGCCAACCCCAGGTACCGTACCAGCCGGAGGAGGTAACAGGCATGGGGCAAGGCTCACTCCACGCTCGCTTGTGTGTGCTGGCAATTAAGCATGCACTCCATTAACCCTTTCAATGGGAAAGTGAAGTGTCAGGAGGATAAAATTGGCATATGAAATGACGGCAGGTAAAAACAAAGCCCCACAGGGAGAAGGGACAAGGGCAGGCTCCACAGGGGGGTCTGGAAAGATCAAAATATCTCTGAGCGGGGCTTAACAGATGCCTAATAATAGCTAAACACTGCAGCTGCCACAGACTGTACAAGTGAAAATGAGAGTCAAGTTGCCCTATTAAAGAGGTTTTTAATCCCAGGTCTGCACAAGCCCTCTCCTTTTTTAAGCCTCAACATCCCTGCCCTGCAAAATACAGATAATTTCCCAGCCAGCCCTGACTCAGTGGTGCCCCTTCTGTACCTGTGCTCTGCCCTGTGGTATTTAAACTGCATTTTTACAGCGGGAGCCTGCACTATTACTGCTGAAGCTGCTGCCTCCCTTGGCCCCGCAGGTCTGTGTTGCAGCGTATGGGCACCGCAAGCCACGTCTGCACCACCCCAGAGCTCTTGTAGGGCTGCCAGGGCTTTCATACAGGAGATTCCTTTTCTTTCCAGGTGCCCATTGAAAGGGTTAAGGACAATGTTTGTGCCCAGCTGTGCATGTCTGCATGCGAGGCTATTGCTGGCTTTGCCCTCAATTGCGAATTTCTACAGCAGTGTTGAAGCAGAGAGAAACCTTTTCTTGTAGCGGGGCGGGAGGGGCAGCATCTCTTCCTGCTTTCAAGGAAACCCAAATCCTCAGTTACCCAGTGTCAACCCTGCAAAGTCCAAAGCATAAGCATAACATCTGGTTGCCCAAAGAAGGATGCCCACCTCTTACAAAAGCTGCAGACGCGACTTTTCCCCCCCCACCCCCCCCTTTGAGCCAATATTTCAGCGGTGGGGACAGCCCCATCACCGAGCTCTGAAGGGGGCTGGCGGCAGCACTAGGGAGTGCAGCCAGCCCAAACGCACCCCGAATGCTGGGGAAAAGCTTTTGGGCTGGAGCGACAGCCCTTGTTTGCCCTGCACCTCTGTAAGAGGGTGTGCTTTGCCTTTGCTGGACACAGCCCCGGGGCTCCCCAAGGAAGAACAGCTTCTTAGGGATGCCTCTTCCCAAGTGATGCAAGTGCAGGACCAGCTCTCTGCACCTGTAGGTTTTGCTTTCCTACCTCATAGATGTTTCTCCTCCTTTTATTTTATTGCAGTGATGTCCCTCTACCCAATATTATTTTGCGTTTTTTCCTTTCTGAATAGATGCCAATCCTTTCCTTACTCTATTTTTCTCTTCCTAAAAAGAAAAAAAAAAAAAAATAAGGGTAACAGATTGGTCTGATTTCAGTGGTGAGAAACTGAAAATGGATGTAACCTTTTGGCTTAGAGGATCTCTATCCTCCACGTGCAGGAGGGCTGTTTTGCTGCTACAGCTCGTACTTCAGCCAGGGTTTAGCTTATCCACAAGAATCCAGATTTTCTTTGTGGATCAGGATCACTTTCTAAAGTATGTTCCTACTTGCAGTGGATATTGCAGGACTTTGAAAACACAACACGACCTCTCCTTTCAGCATCATCCAATTTGCAGGCATAATTTCTTACACTACTGGAACCTAGATGAATTATTTGCCATTCAAAGGACAATTCGACAAGAACAGAGCCCACTAGTCCCTCACCCTTCTGTGTTTTACATTCTGCTAGGAGAAATACTAAAGAGAAAAGATATGCCAGAGCTGAAAGAAGTCTAAAGTCAGTAACTGGGGTAGTAGGTTGTTAAGTGCGAACTCGGCCGCATTCACAGCTTCCTCACCGTGCTGGGCTTCAGCAAGAGAACCCAAGGCAGTATAAATCATAGCAAGGTCCAACACTCATCTGTGTCTTGCTCTTGAGCTGGATGTTGTTTCTTGTTAGGACACGGGGCGGGAGCTGTTACATAATTCGAGTGGTGTTTGTCCTGAGAGGCTGTTTCTCTTCCTAACAAGTACGGGGTTCGAGTGAAATATTGCTTGGCCTTTATCAGAAAACTCACCTCTGCTCAGTGACCTAGATTTTGTAGATTTTTATGGATTCACAGACAAAGTTGTCTTAAATTGCAGTAAAATGCTCTTTGCCATGGGCTGCTGACACTGAAAAAAAGTGAAAAGGTCTTTTTTTTAAGGGGTAACCTTTCATATAGGGGGTCACATAGCTGTTTTGTTTGTGTATGAGAAACTGGAGCAGCTTGATGAAATCAAAGTGGAGTGCAGGGGCTTTCCCTTAGGAAAGGCTTTACCCTTTCCTAAGCCAGACCTGGACAAAGGCAGAGGTGATATGGGAAATGAGAGGACAGCTGGAAAGCTCAAAGCATTTATGCTATGAATGAGAAAAAAAATCAAACTGGATCCTATACTACCCACGTGTATGGAAAAATCAGGGACCATAAAGCATATTGGTCTTAGACTTTAAGGAAAAAAACATCGACTTTTCTCTGTTCCCTTCTTGTCTCTCCATAATTAGGAATTGGAGGAGAAAGATCCTATTGTTCATTTTAGAAAGGGACAGCAGTAAAAACAGAGAACTGCTGACCCCTCTCTTTCAGAGGCTGCTCAATCGCTCCTTTCTATTCTTGAATTTCTTACAGCTATCATCAGATTTGGAACACTTTATGGTAAAGACTTTACAATTTCCTTCTGTTGTTAAGAAACTGGGAGAGGGCAAGAAGAAAAAAAAAAAAAGAATCTCTGAAAATGTATTTGGCTAATCATCAAAATTCATGAAAAATTAATCAAATTTCTCCAAGCCTAATTATTTTGTAGACACACCCAAGGGAAAGCTGTTACTACAGCCTAATAACACATTAAGAGCACCTTTAAATAATTAAAGAGCAGTATGGATGTGTATTGTTTCCTGTATTTTGCAAAAAAAAAAAAAAAAAAAATATGCAACTACTTCCTGAACTGCTCTACTACTCGGAGCAGGACTCAAGAACCTCTCTTAAGAGGCTCCCTCTTTAAATATCCCCCTTTTGCTTTTATGATTCTTCCTCTCTGTTTTTTTTCTAGCCTGAGCCTCACACAGTTTTTTGTGCACGTTTTGGGCTCCTTTTTACTGGTCCATTCATGGTCATAGGAGCCAAGCCGCAGCAAAGAGCACAGCCGTCCTGCTGCAAGCAGCTCTCGTTACTTAAGCCTATTAATTGCCACAGCCAGCCCGCTGCATCCTCTGTCCATTATAACAGCGTATCTCCTCCCCGCCGTGCCCCTTGGTCTCCATTACCTGAAAGGGTAATGCATCTTGCAGACAGAAAAAGCAATCTCTGCCTTGCAAAGATGGGGCCTATTAATGAGCTGAATGGTCGTTTAGATATTTCCAGGAAGATGGGGTAGGCTACGGTGGGAGCAAGAGAATGAGAATTGCTGTTACTGGCTTTTAGTCTGGGTTTCCTGGGGCAATTTCAAGCCTGCTTGAAACTGGTTTTCAGGGTTGCTGCTCTGCCCTGCAACCGGGAAAGCTGCAGCCCCTCCTGCTTTTGGGGGGTGGGAATTTTTTCCCCGCCACACAAACACCAAATGTTTGGTCCGGTACCTAAGCTCGAGGCAACTGCTGACAAAGCCCTTGAGCGAACCTCACGTTGGGAACGCAAAAAAATAAATTCAGTAACTCTGCAAAGCTCAGAAAAGTATTGCAACCACATTTTTAGAAGGCTGTCTGTGATTTCTAGTTTTTCAAAATGAACAGCTCTGGAAATGCCAGCCTGGCCCTCCATCTCCCCTGTCCCCACTTTTGCTGCCAGCAGCAGTGATGTGTCACTCCTTAATTAGCCCCGACGTGGTGGGCAGTGAGCGGGGAACCCCGGGGAGGGCTGCAGCCCCTCGCAGGCTGCTCCCTGCCCATCCCCATAGCGGGGGTGCCCTTTTTGTGGGGGCTGCCGGAGCGCTCTGAATTCTGTCAAAGACCACCTTTATCTCCCCCCAAACTGAAATCAGCTCTCATTAGGGGATGGATTTCAAAGCCTAGAAAATGCCCCTTATCTTCTCTCCCCCCAGTCTCCCAGCTGAGCTTTTCTCCTGCATACATTTCGTATTTAAACACAAATGAGGCCGTAGCTTTGAATCCTAAGGCAGTTTAGGACTAAATCCCACCATGGCTGTGGGAGCCGGGACCGGCCGCGGTGCCGCCTTCCCCCAGCCCGGTCCCATCCTGCAGCACAGTGCTGCCCAGAGATGCTCTCCCCATCCTCCCCGCTCTGACCTCTTGCTTTCTGGACTCACCCAATCCCACTTTTGTACCTGTGCCTAGTCCTGCCGGGATCATTTTTGTCTCCAGTGCCAACACCCCCTCCTCGACCTCACGCATGGACCTGCTCGGGAGCAAGCTGGCATTACCCTGATGCAATGCCCTGCTCTGGGGGATCACTCCCACCAGCGCCGGAGCAGGGGGGACAAATCCTGCCCAGCATCACCAGCAGCCAGAGCTGAGCAGCACAGCTCAGCCCGGTGCTGAATCGCTTCGGTCAGCGCGTCATCCGGGAAGGTCTTGGCACTGCAGCTTCACCTGTGTGTGCATCTGCTTGTAATACATAAAGATGATACCCTACACGAGGGATAGCAAAGCTGTGACTTATCCCAGATAATCTCTTCACATCCAGGGACTAGAGGAGCATTAAAGCTGGATAGCTCCCCCGCTAAAGCCATCACAGCAGTGCTAGGTGACGCAGACAGTCCTCGAAGGTGCTGTGCAGGAGAGGCATGATGCACAGTTGTTTAACAGGCCTGGGAGCTGGGGGGTGTAACCGGGTTTTCCACCGGCTCCTGCCTTTCAGCAAATTACTTTGTGCCTTGTTGAGTCCTATTTTCCTTAGAGGGGAGCCAGGGATTCACAGGGGAAATGCTGAGATTGCGTTAGCTAATAACTAGTGTCTGTGCCGCCGTTTGACTGTGCACTGCAAACCTGTTGAGGAGCTGCAGCTTAATTGGGTTAATGGTGACATTAACCTAGTGACACTAATCTCTTAACCTTCCAAAAAACCGCTATGAATCAGCAAAGATGGATGTTAATACTTCTCAACCCAAGAAAGGCTTATTGTAACTTACAGCCTCGAGACACAGCGAAGCCCTCGATCAAAAACCAGGTGAAAGAAATGCAGAACAGCAAAAAAAAAAAAAAAAACCAGCACTCCCACTGCCGTGGCCCCGTCAGGTCCGAGAGGGTTTTGCTACACTACAAACACCCGAGGCTGAAGCCGTGCCCTTTCCCACCCAGGCTGGGTCCCCTCCCTGTCCCCACCACCTCTCACCAGCCGCCGGACCCCCCCCCGCTCGCCCCCAGCCCCTCTCCCGGCCGTGGGGCAGCGATGGGCTGAGCAAGGCGGGTGCTTTATTTCGGTGGCTGCGCTGCTGCATGGGGCTGGCTGCGATGGGGCCCACGGCGGAGAGGCTGCGCTGCTCTCTGGGCACCCGCGGGGGTGGGCTGGTGATTTCGGGACGCGCCAGTAACTGTGGTTTTATTGCAGCTGCGGGCGGTGGGGAGCTGGACTGAGTGACCTACTGCTCTTCTCTGCTTTTGGATCTGTGGGAGGGCTGAGGTTTTAGGGGTTGGCCCTCCTTAGTGGAAAAAAAAAGAAGAAAAAGTGCCTTGACTTGGTTCTGGGACACCTTTTATAGGACTTTCCTAGAGCTATTCTTGTTTGTGGGTCATATTTAAAATAGCTGGTTTCATTTGCCTAACGGGGATTTGTAATCCCTTGATCTACAGTAAGTAAATATAATTTAATGCAAGCATCACAGGGTAATTCTCTGCTCATTTACCTTAGGTAGTTTAAGCAGCATTTCAGCTGCATTTTCTGCTGGCAGGTTTTCAGGGCCAAGCCAATGCACTCCCCTTCGGTGGTGTTCAGAACCCTCCCAACCACCCTGCGGCATGTGTGCGTAAAGTGCACATTTACCCATTTGCTCCGGAAACACGGCACAGGTGAGACACGGACAGGGGCGATTCAGAAAACAAATTGCTCAGACTTTCCCCCTGGACAGCTTGGGGTGTGCCAACCCCTTTTTCCTAATTTAAATGTAAATTGTGAGGGGCAGTGATAGCAAAGTACCATCCATCACTCACCGACGAGCTAAAAATCCATGTTAATGCTAAAGCCGCTCCAGTCGCCAGACTGCAGTATTAGTACAGAGACGAGCCAGGAAGGAAGCAGCTGAGAAGCTGCAAGCTGAACTGGCAGCTCAAAAATGCTGGAGGTGTAGTCTAGAGGCTGCTGACTTAATGTAATTGCGGCTTGCCTGGCCCACAACAAATAGGATTATTATGTTTTCTTAAGAAATAAATCCTATTTCTTATTTCAGGGAGCCCCGAGTGCCCTTGGCGCAGTTCAGCGGGGAGGGGATGATGGGGTGAGGACAGCTTGCCCTGTGCATCCCCCAAACACCCCTCACTTTCCTCTTCCCCTGCCCTCCGTGTGATTTAAGCCCCGGGTGGCGGGGGGGCACCAGCAGCAGAGCAAAGGCAAAAGAGAAGCAGGTCGTTCGGCCCCCCGGGGATGGGCTCAAACCGTGGGCGCAGGCAGTGGGTGCTCAGGAGCAGCTTGTCGGGGGCAGCCCCCCGCTTGCTGCCCCCCTCTTCACCCCCAGCATCGCTCCCTGCCCCTCGGCTGGGCACGGGGCCGTCCCTGCATGCGGACAAGAAAAACGGTTCAGCCTCGTGTTTCCCGGTGCTGTTTGCTGCCTCCCTCCCCCCTGCTCCCCGGTCTCGTCCCGTCTCTGTGCCGCGCTGCTCTGCCTTCTCTCGCGTGCCTGCGTGCCCAGCCACCGGGGCTGGCGAGCGCAAGCCCCGGGGAGACATCGCCTCGTCTGAAAAGCCAGTGTTTCCCTCTCCCAGCTGCAACTGGGACGCCTCCAACTACGGTCGGGCTAACCAGTACTACAACCACCCCAACTACCACCGACACAACCACCACCACCACCGACACAACCACCACCACCACCGACACAACTACCACAACTACCACCACCACCACCGACACAACCACCACCACCAGTACAGCCGCCACCACTCCACCCGCCACCACCGCCGCCAGCACTACAGCAGCTACAGAGCGGGCTCCGGCAGCCACCACAAAGCAGGAGTTGGGTACTGCGCTTTCCTTTTCCTCTAACCCCTCTAAACCCTACTGGGACCTTCCCCACGCCTTGCTCAGATTAATAACGGGGGCACGGGCAAAAGTTCAGACATCCCACGCTCCGGGAACGGCTTTGCGAGGAGCCGGAGGGGCCTCAGGGATTGAGGTGCACAAGTGGCTCCCGGCAATTTGGGGGTCTCTGGGCCACCCTCCTGGTCTGTCTCAGGGATAACGCAGCCCTCCCTGGGGGGGGGTCACGATACTGAATTAGCATCAGTGTTTGGGAAGGAGGTGGAAGAGCCTACAAAAGCTCTCAAAAGTACTATCTTGTATCTTGTTGCCATTGAGAAGGGGTTCTGTTACGATTATAGAATATGTCGCTTCCAATTTAGCACATCCACTCTTAGCTAAGAGACCTGTCATCATTTATATGAGTCTGTTGGTTTATGCTACTGTTCTTTGCCATGTAACCTAGCCATAGCCCACAGCAGAGCTGGGGAAGTGTTTAAGTTACAACACACGGGTGTGTGCCAGGTGTTTATCAGGTCAAGATAAACTTCTCAGGCAATCGGCTAGAATGGGATGATCAAACTCTGTTTTGGTGGAGGCATCTTCTCTACTGTGTGTGTTTTACTGATAGATACAGAGAGATGTATCTTGCTAAGTCTTGTTTTTAAAACACTGCTATAATGGTATCTACAGTTAATAAATAATTCTGGATAGTTATATTCAGGTTGTTCAAAAATAAATCAAGCTAGTAGCAAAAGGAGATGCAATCAAAATCATTCAGTTACGTGGCTGGATAGGACACACTCCAAAATGCGAGTGCAAAAGCTGCAGAAACCTTTGTTAACTCTTCAAAAAGAGGGAAAGGAGACAGTAGTAATAACAAATATCAGATTTGACACCCATTTAACTCAAGGAATTTGATTAAAGCAGTTCAGACCCCTTTGTTTATATTTTTGCATAAGATTAGCTCAGGGTGGTTAAAAAAACCACCAAAAACATGCTGAGAAGACCTGCCTGCACCTGATACCCCACAGTAAAATAGATTTGCAAATCAGCAGCCCATTTCCCTCTCTGCACTGATTTACTTACTAAAGATGCAGACCTGAACTAAGAAAATGTGACTTTGTGTTCCAGCTTGTGGCCCCACACACCTCCCCAGGCAGAGAAGCCTTTAGCTGCGCAAAGCTGCTAACTGCAAGTCAAGGGAAAGCAGAGAGGGAGCTGCACTGCCAAAACAGAATCAGCTTAAAAACCGGTGCAAGAAAATACAGATGCAGCTTCATCGCTGTATAGGAAGTCTCAGTAGTGAAGGAAGGTTGATACCGCAACACAGTCACTGTTAAGTGACTATGTGGGAAAACGGTGCTAATTGAAAATAGGCAATTAAGTGGTGAGGCACGCGCTGCCAGAGAGCTGAGAGGAGATGGGAGGAAAAGAGGAACGGCACGTGTCCCAAACCACCCCGGGGATGTGAGGGAAGAGGCTGAGCCGTAATGCGGGCAGACAGGGCAACCCCGTGGCAGCACAGGTTGTATTTGTACGAGGGATTCTAGGTCACGTCCCCGACACCACAGCATCAGGTCCTTGCAACTTCCTAAAAATCATGTATCTGGCCTCATCTCGAGGACTGCAGTTATTCATCTGTATTTGGTCAACCCAAAACCTGAGCTACACCCTGAAGTAAATAATAATAAAAAACCCAAGGTGTAACTTCTCTGATGTCGCTTAAACACACACTAAACCAGTGGATTAGCTCTACTTCACTAGAAAAGAAGTTCATCCGCTCTCCAAAGCAACGCCAACAACCCTTAACTTCAAAATTAGAAACGAGTGACTTCATTGCCCCACTGGCTGTCTCTAGACCCAGTAACATGACAATATTCTCTCCCAGTCTTTCCTTCTCGGTTGTGGCAGTGAAACTGTGTGCACTCGTGCACGCGTCTCCCACGTGTTTTGGGCACGAGTTCAGTCGGGAGGTTTCCCTGCTGACCGAAATCCTCAGGGATGTGCCACAGAAGTCTTCAGACTCCAAAGATAAGCTGAGTGCAGTTGGACTTAACCACCAATATGCAATGAGCTTCTGCTACCAAACTTCCCCCAAGGGTTTAAAGTTAAGGATCTTGAAAGGAACAAATACATCCTTAGGCATGCTTGTAGGACAAGATCAAAGCATTAACTTCGGGAATGATTTTGTAAGGTTTGTTACCGACACCAGATGCTAGATGAGGTCTCGTTCGTATATAATCCAAAATACTAACTCCTGTTCTAACCTGTCCACCAGCCACCAATGGATCGTCCATATGGGACATAAGAGCTATGGCTAATAGTAACTGGGCAAACATCACCTGGAGCCACAATTACTCTGCAGGAACTGACTTTGTGGTTAAGTATATCACCAGTAAGCATCAGATCGCGTGGGGAATCTACAGGGTGGTGCTGCCATTAGAGATCCTGCCAGCTCCCATGGTTGCAACCTATTACTCGGTCTTAATTAGTGCGTGTGGAATGATGCTCTATGGCCACGTGGAGGGTGGGAAGGGGAAAAGGCAGGTCACGGTCAGGGCTGTACGGAGTGCACCAGAGCTAATCCTGGTGATTCACAAGTGATTCCCCCTCCTTGCACCCAGTGCCGTAAGATGTTTATGAAACATAGATGAGCGAGGCTGTTCATTGAGCTGGGATGTATGCGGTCACAATGTAAAGAGCCTTAAAAATAGAGATAGATGGATATCTGTATGTATGAGGGGGGACAAAACTAAGGGAAAACAGATGAGATCTACATAAATTAGAGAGTAGTTTTAAATGCCTTTGAAGACAGGCTTCTTGAACCTGGAGTTGGCAGAATCATCTATGATCCCAAACCTCCTGTTGTATCGGATATCGTTATCTCTTAAAATTGTAAGGCTACATACTTAGTCTGGAAGCTCAAAGCTAATATCTCTGGTTTTAATACTTGTTTAGAAAGATGTTTACATGTTGTTGGTTGGTTTGGGTTTTGGATTTTTTTTTGTTTGGTTTGTTTTTTTTTTTTAATATACAGATAGGCAGTGGTGACTACTGCTTATCTCTGACTTTATTTCCCAGCCATTTCAGTCCTCACATCATCTGGTACGCCAGTCTTAAATTGGCATTTAAAATAAACTAACTAGGCATAATCATTGACAGCAAACCACTTTTGGTCATTTACAACATTGCTTAAGAGGTGATTTTCTAATGTGCAGCCAGTGCCTGGTCTCGCTCCGCAGCCTGCAGGGCTTCAGTAGGCAGCACGGGCTGGGCTATGCTCAGCCTTCCCCTTTTTAACTGGTTTCCATAATTCAAGATATGCATCAGCTTTCCAAGCCCTAAATGCCAAGTATCCCAGCTCCCAAACCACCCGCTCCCAGCCCTGGATTTTCCCCATCACTGGGAAGCACAAAGCGCAGGCGATGCCCTTCCAGAGCCCACGTGTTGATGCTGAGGCTGCACTCGGGATGAGCTGCAGCAGCAGCAGTGCCTTGGGACATCCTTATCAGGATCTAGCAGAGAGGGAGGAGATCCTGGAGATTTCAGCCCTTCCTGAACAGCCGTGACTCTCCTTCCTTTCTGGTGGCATTTGAAGCAAGTTGCATGCTTTTGGCCTCAAAGCCACATTTCTCCTTCCCCGCAGCACTGCTGAACTGGGAGGTGCGCACCTCCAGAGCCACAAACCAAAGCCCCCACTGCAGGCTTGCCTACAATTCAGTGGTTTAATGCTCAGCATTAAGTTCAGCAGCAAATGATTCCTGGCACAGTGCAAAGAACAGGTCATCCTCGGATAGAGCCTGGGAGCAACCAGCCCGCAAGCATCCCTCCTTGAGCTGAAGGGTTAAACTCATCTCGTTCCCAAAAGCGGCAACCTGCCAGCTGGGGCGAGCAGTCTCACAGCACATTTAATGCAACGTCCAGCTCGTTCAAAGCCTCCTTAACCTACCAGCAAAACTGGTGCGCAGGTACCGCTCCCAAAAGCGCAAGAATTGGCTCATTTACCGAGTCCTGTAGCACCTTTATCCAGCTGAGCGGGACCAGGCAAGTTTCAGCTGTTCCATGGTAAATACCCAAATATCCAGACCTGAGGCTGGCAGATAAAGGACCTAATCAGGTCTTAAAAGCAGGGAGAGATCTGAATAGCCACCAGTATTTTTTTCCAGAACGTCAAGCAGGGATGCAGCAAAACCCACACCGTATTCCTGCATCAACAACTTACTTCTATTCTCAGTGAGTAATAATCACAAAGCCATTATTAGCTCCCCGACCATCAAGCTGTATTATTTCTGCTCAGCAGCCAGGGATAGCGTAGCGCATTGCCTGCAGTGTCAACACAGTAATCTCTCCGAGCCTCCTGCGGCTGGGTTTGATGTGCGGTTTCTGTTTCTCAGGTAACAAGACAGAGAAATCTATCCCTGTTAAAGCTCAGACCCCTTCCTCTGTGCAGCTGGCGAATCTGACGCCGGGAATGATGTACAAGCTGTGGGTGTTCCCCATATGGTCTAGCCCCAGCGAGCACTCGTACATAACCTTTACCACCAGCTCAGGTGAGAGGGGCTTCAGCCCCGCGGCGGGGTGCGTGTCCGAGGCATGCCACATCCATCACCGCCGACGGCGTTCGCGTGGTGGCGGGAGGTGGTTTGACCATGACTGCATGGAACAACCCTCATCCACACCCCCCCCCCCCTCCACACCTCCCTCCCATTAACGAGCCACCCCCCCCCCAGCATTGCCAGGAGGTCGCTCCACACTGCGCGGAGGAGGGGAAGCCCCACGAGGGATGGGGAGCCCTTTGAAGGAAAGGGTCTTCAAGGAGGGTGGAGAACCCTCACGCAGCTCTGCTTGAAGCCCCGCCACGGTGCAGCTGCGCTTCCAAACGCGCGTTGCTACTCGTGGTCTGGCCTCGGGTCATGGCAGAGGGGCAGGCGGGGAGATATTGGGGATGGGGTGCAGGTGAGGGGCAGGACCGGGAAGGGGGACGCAGGGTTTGCAGAAGACATCGCTCAGAGCGAGGCACATGTGGCATATGCCTATGGTTTTCCATCCGCCAGGTATGTTTCCTCTGGCAACTTTGCGTTTAATTGCACAAGCAATTTTCCAGGCTTAGCACCTGAGTGATTTTTACAGCTTTCTAATTATGGGCTTCCTACTCTGCCCACCAAACGCCAGAGAAATACCCTTGTTGACTTCCACAGGCACTGAAGCGGGCTTTATGCATTTATAAAACTTCACCGTTCACATTTGATGAGTCTCAGTAAATCAAAACAGCCTTAACTTCCTTTGTATTCACCCCGGGGTTTTGCCGTAGGAATCTGTGCACAACGCCTGTCAAAGCGTGGATCTAAACTCTTAGCTGAAAAACCAAGGAGCAAGCAACACTGGAGCAGCCCACACTGACAGATGTAGTAGGTAGAGGCTGTGATTTTCAAAGAACTGAAATTATTTTGCTCAGATCCAGCCATGTAATGGAAAGCTCAAGCACTTACCAGTCTCTTTGCTGACAAGTGCAAAAGGAAAAGGTAATTCACAGCAAGGGAGTGCTGCAGGGGGAGGTGGGGAGCAGCAGCTCTCCCCACACCCCCTCTGCACGTCTTGGTGTCCAAAAATCTGGCAAGCCGTAACACCGCTGAGTAATTCTCTGATGTGCTAAGATGTCACAGGGACAGATGGCAACTGCTGGTATTTTTTGCATGTCTAATGCTGCCCAACACTGAGAAATAACCAGCCAGCGCTGACTTTGACTCTGTCCGGCCTCTGCCCTGCCCTGCGGGCTGATGTGCCGCCTCAAAGTGCCCCACCACCCTGGGACGTGGGTGAATCCACAGCACGGCAGCCCCAGGAAGATGCTTGGCTTTGCAGAGCTGTGTTTTCAAAACGGATTTCTTTTTGCTGGGTTTTTTCCCCCATCGCTCCGCTGCTGTACGTGCTGCGTGGCGTGGCTGCCGCGCCTGGGGACTTCTCACCGCTTTGCTTTGGCAGGACTCCGCTCGCAGGCACAAAAACTGTCTGCAGGTTTCAGGTCCCTGGGCTCCCGGTCTGTTCCTACATTGCAGAGGTTGATTCTGACCCCAGATAGTAAAAGAGCTGATTTTTCAACTCCAACTGTCTCCAGAACCGCTCCAGCTTCCGTGTTGCAGCCTCAATTTTGTTTCTGCTTCTGGACCCTCTCTTGACTCAGAAATCACCACCAGCTGGACAGCCCCCACCCATACCACCCTGTGTGTCTTTCAGAGATAATTATTTCCCAATCTGGACCCGCCTCTTTTTTTTTTGTCTTGCCTGCTTTTCACCCACTTTGGGATCTGGGGGGGAGAGCGGACAACCCCTTGCACGAGGGACAGCTAGGGGCAGGGAATCATTAGAAAAATGCAGGGGGGGGGGGGGGGGGGGGGGGAGAAAAAAAAAAAAAAAGCAATATTCTCGGCTGATTGATGCTGGCAGTCTTTGCGTATCTATTTTCTGTAGTTGAGGGGTTCCTACTGATATTATCATTGAGACTAAAGGATGGGGCCACCTTTGTCCTGTGATAGGGGCCAATTGGTGACCTGAGCCCTATCCCTGTGGGATGCACAGAGCTATCGCCGTCCCTGTGTGCAAAAACGCTGCAGATCCATTTCTTTGCTGGCTGGATACTGCTGACACAAGTGTTCAGCCCCCGCTGACAATCGTATGCCATCAGAAATGCTTCTGACAAAAAAAAAAAAAAAAAAAAAAAAAAAGCACTGTTCAGGGGTTTTGTGGGTTTTGGTTTTTAAATGTTTTGCAAATTGCTATTCTAAACGTTTCTTCAGTTGGAGGGCAGATAATTAAGAAGTAGTCCACCCACACTGTGGCTGCAGGATACTGCCCTCCGACTTTGCCTCTGATTAACTGACAGCTCAATAACCCAGAGTTCCTTCCAGTAGTAAAGGACACTTTGAAACTACAAACATAGCTTAGTACAAAGAGGTCTTCTAAATTAAAAAAAATAAATAAAATTCCCCAGCCCGTACAAACACTGGGAAGAGATACGGTCATGCAAGGCTGGAGCTAGTGAGACTTTACATATCCAACAGTCTGCTTTACAAAAACAGACAAAAATTTTGTTGATCTTCTGTTGTTGAAAAACAGTCAGCTTTGCTATTGGCATATAAACTGTGACTGTTAGGTAACGTGTTTTCTGCCACAAGATTATAATTAATTTTTAAAAAAAGTCACTGCAGTTGCATTTCAAATCTATATCTGTTTGATTACACAGCTGCTTTCCACTATTTCCCCTTGACATTGGCCTTACATTAAAGCAAATCAAAACATCCTCTCTGACAGCCATGTACTTAATCTTCTCTTTCTCAATGCTGCAATGACAGTCACTCGTTTACTCTAAATACAAGATTGCTGTGAGTATAATTTTGTCGTCATGTGTTGCTTTTTTGGGAAGGATGGCAATTATACCTCTACCTTGGCGTCAGGCAGTGCCACGATCCTACTGCAAGATCCCCTGGTGACTTGGTGCTCAAAATCCTCCCTCCCTGTAAAACTCACTCCCCATTCTGCATGGTGGCACAAACCCACCTCTCATGCTGCTCTGGCGTTTCATACTTTGAAGACCCCCTTATTTTCCCCTTCGCATTGGTTTCTGTAGAAACCCCATCCCATCAGGACTGCTAATACAATCTTTTCCCATTTCAAAGCTCTCCAGCAAAGCTTACTTTCCCTTTCCTCCCCAAGCACTCAGCTAATTGAATCCAGTTCTCAGCTCCACTCTGTTATAATTCCGTTCTCTCCATTATAAAAAGTGCATCTTCAAGGACTACGTAGCTCAGGCTGTATTAAAGGTAAATATTAAATGTGGCAGCATTAGAGGGAAAAGCAGCAAAAGGGAGGCAAGGCATCATTAGGCAGCTGCTTCCACACGGCCTCCCCAGGAGCTCGTTGCCGCTCACAAGAACAGTGTGCAGGGTCCGACATAATTTCGTTAGCAAACGGTACTCTTTCTTGTTGTTCTCCTCTTTTATCTGAATTTCTTTGTCACGTTTTGGCTGCAATTACCGACTGACAACGTGGCTTAGATTTCCTCCTAAGGCAAGGCACCTCTTCTCTTGGATTCAATTTTGAAGGAATAAGTACGCACTTACAGGCCTGAAATGGTGTGGGTTAGGAAAGTTTACCAATTCAACCCATTTTTAAAGTTTCTGTCTCTCTTACAAGACCCTTTCATTCAGAATACATTAGCAGAGGGCTACCTTTTATGCTTTCTTTGTAAGCACCATCTTGGGTTTTGTCACACGGGCACCGCAAAAGGATGCTCGCTGCACCGTCCTGCCCATCTCAGGCAAATCCCTGCTAAATCCCAATTCAATCCATCCAGCTCAGATCTCCCGCGCTCCTGCCAGGAATACCTATCTCTGTTTGCACTGCAGCCTGGTTAAATTTAGGCCCCCCTGCTGCGCTGAAGGTTATTTTCTCCTCTGCTCTGTCTTGCTGAATACGAAGTGCATGTCAGTGAGAGCCAGAAAACGGCAGCTTGTTGCTATTTATAGGACACAGATTTGTCTGACCGTGTCTGGGAGCTGCAAACAAGAAGTCAGAGTGTGTGAGGGAAGACATGGCAGTTTGGAACCAGAGCATTGTTTGGGGAACAGGACACCTCCTTGCTTGGTATTAATCATAATAATATTCAGTAGTCTTGAGGATGCTGGAAGCAGTGATAGAAAGAGCTTGCCCCAGGAGAAAAGACTTTCCAGTGCCGTCAGACCACCTCTCAACTACCTGGGACCCAGCTGCCCATCCTCAAAGAGCTATTCCCACTGCTGTGTCCCCTCCTGGGCACAGGCCAAGTCTTGATGGGCTTCCACAAGTCCCCTCTCAGCCCTGGAAAGCCCCCGTGGCCACCCAAAGGCAGCAGGACCCTGGCAGAGGTGGCAGCAGAGCCACTGCCCGTCGCCTCGCAGGATTCCAGTTTCTCCCAGCTCGAGGCTGTGGACAAGCCCGTCAGGGCTCAGCAACCCTCTGGATCCAGGGACTGGATCCTCTTGGGCACGTTTCTTTCAGCCCTTCCTGCTTCCAGGGTGGTTTTCAGGCACAGTAAATGAAAGATCAAATCTGTTACCCAGCTTCTTCTGCCATTATTTGCAATGCACCTTTCTCACTGGTGTGCTAGGTTTTACTTTATGTTGTGATCCTTCACTGTTTGTAGCTCCTGCTAAAATTTTGAGTTGACCTACCACCACAATAGAAGAAAAAAAAAAACAAAAGGCACAGATCCCTGTGCTACAGTCTCAGATAACCTGGTCGATACACACATAGACACACAAATGCAGCGCTAAAGAGAATTCCTAAATCAGTGGACTGTGTCTTACTATTCATCTATTTCCCTCTGTGGTTCTGGTCTGTTCCTTATTGCCCTTTTTTTTTTTTTTTTTTTTTCTTTCAATTTTCCTCCCAGCTTATACCAAGAATCACGTCGATATCGCAACGCAGGGCTGGTTCATCGGGCTGATGTGTGCCATTGCTCTCCTGGTCCTTATTCTGTTGATCGTCTGCTTCATTAAGAGGAGCAGAGGCGGGAAATACCCAGGTATGAGCAGCGCGTGGCAATCGTTTGTGCTCATGGCTTAAACATACCCAGGCTTCTGGGGGCTAATCAAGCTGTATTGCTCTCAGATAGATGCTTGTGATTACAAGGGCTTTTCTTTCTCTGCAGTGGGAACACTATTATTAGTGGGAAGCATTTCAGTTAATTAAAGGTCAGGTGAGGGCTCTGTGCTGTGCAGGCTTTAGGCAGCAGAGCTGGACACTTCTGTTATGCATGACCCAAGTCTGCAAATCTGCTCGTCCTCATCTAGAAAAAGATCTTTTCAGGCAAAAATCTCATTAAATGTTTGCAACGCTAAGATAAGGCTTAAGAAAATTCACCAATTAATACATCCTCTCTTGCTCTCTGGAGCGCCCTTGCCCTGGTGCCATCACAGCAGCACCCTTCACAAGGCCTTTTTTAAGCCTTTTGCAAGCCCTCCCAGGTGTGGGGTTTTTACCGAGTCAGTGAAAACCTGTACTTCACCCCACAGGGATTTTACAAAGACCCTCAAGGCCAGCTGCTGTTACTGTCTGGTTTATCTTCTCCACTGTTTTTTAAAGTGAATGTTGGGGATGTGCTTGTTTGCAGTACGAGACAATAAAGATGAGCATCTAAATCCCGAAGACAAGAACGTAGAAGACGGGTCGTTCGACTACAGGTATGCTTCCATTGGCATGTGCACCCCCGCGACCCCGTCTCCCCATCAGCCCCGCTCCCAGCCATCACAGATCTCACCACGCTACCCCTCCACATAACCGCAGCACCGCGGTGCCACACAGCCTCTTAAATTATTTCTTCCACCTTCCTCCTCCTGCCTCCTTCCCTCTGCAAGTCCTCTACCAAAGGAAACATTTCCTGCCTAAAACCCTGGAAGAGTAACCGGGCTGTGAGGATGCTGCTAAGGTCTCTTTTCCCTGTCAGCCTGGGAGGATCAGTCCGGGCAGAGAGCTGGGACTCTGGCATCAGCTACCTGGGACACAGCTCTCGCCAGGTGCAGATCAACCTTAAGGACACTCCTAATACATTAAAAAAAAAAAAAAAAAAAGACAAAAACAAACAACAAACAAAAACTCCAAAACCCAACACAAACCAACAAAAAAACCCCCAACCTTGAAGCAGCCTAAGGATATTTCAGGTATATCACCCTGTAGCTCAGTCCCTCTCCTATCCTTGAGAGAGTATCCAGGGGAGAAGTTGTTTGGATCAGCCCTGAAAGCATGCAAGAGTACTGGTTTGGGAGTCTGCCTGCATTCCAATCAAGGCTTTTCTGTAAGGTAAACCCCAGGCAAACCCCACAGAAGCACCCTTTGAGGGCTGCAGTTCTGCTAAACCCACTCTGATTTCCCCCCAACTCTGCTCAGCTGCTTTCACACAAAATGTCATCCTTTGAAGAGCAGCAGTGCCCATTTTTACTCCAAGAAAACTCCCAGGTTATTTCAGAAGGGTGCAAGCCCTCTCCCAAGCACCGTGGCACTCACAGCTCTGCTACTGCTCATGGTTCCCCCCGAGGAGGAGGAGCAGGAGCAGGTAACGACGTCAGGTCTCATTGGATTGCCCACACTTTGCAGATGACAGCACACTTAGCTTGCCCTTTGAGCACCTACAGCAGGCTTTGCTTTTCTTTAAACAATTAAAATGCACTTTTCCATCTGAGTTGGATCCAAAGCCCAATTAGGCTATCAGGAATTTTTCTCCTGATTTCAAAATGGGATTAATTAAACTCCATGTCATTACCAATACTCCTACCATTACAAATTGAGGTAGCAAAGATAGGAAGAATTTATTTATGATTCAGTAAGGGATGTAGCAAGACACACATGTTCTGCCAAAGACTTTAGAGGAAGCAAAATGAATATATCTGCCTGCACACAATACTTAAATGAAAGTAGAACAACTGCAGCCCTCAATGTGATCACATTTATATTGTTAGTGGCACAGTAACTCTATTTCAGTAGCGACTCCTTTTCTCCATAGGATGTTGTAAGCCCAAAGCTCCCCAGTCTTCTGATAGCAAAATACAGAATACAAATACACCCCAGCAGGAACTAGAATTAAGTGGCACGTTGTAGGAAAAAGTCGCCAGTCTTTATTGCCCTAAACAACACCCCGGGGGGGCAACACCTTCCTCACCTCCCTGCGAGATTTGGTTATCACTTCTAGCGGTAGCAAGCCACGCCGAGGCAATTACATTAAGTCCACATACAAATCGCAGTCTGGGGATGATGTTCCCTTCACATTCCTGGCCAGGACACGGAATAGCAGAGAAAAAATTAGCTCAGCCTGGTCCAGCTGCAGGCTTTGCCCCGTATCAAACGCATTTCTTCCCAGGCATGATTTTACAGGTGTAGACAGCACTCCTTGTACAGACACGAGCCATTACCATAACTGCATGCTACACGGCTAGTGGCCATACTTTGGCCAAAACAAGTCCCCTGAATGCTCCGAGTCATGCTAGGGATCCTCTTGGTGGATGGCGTAAATACCACGTAGCAAGCCTGAAACATCTCATCACCCAGGAGCTGCCCACACACAACCCCACGGGCTCAGCTCCAGCACCCCGATCTCAGACAAGGTCTCCACAGCCGAGCTTCTGGCAGTACGCGCTGATTTCAGAGATCTCCTTCTCAAGAGTCTGTTGAGGTGGTTGCAGTCAAGACCACCTCACCCCCCATCGCTCCTAAGGCAACTGCATTGCCCGGGACCACGTGCCTTGCACGGAAGGAAAACCAAGCTCTTGGCATGGCTGGCAGCATTGACAGTCAGCAATACGGCATTTACCGCCCAAGCACCATCCATAGGGCATTGCCTTCCGGGAAATGGGAAGGAACGGGGTAAATCTTTCATCCTACTACTCAGCAGATTCTGCTTAGCTGAAGCTCAAACTTCTACTGGCTGCCCCATTCCCAAAAGTTGGCAAGCTAAAGGCAGAGGTCAGTAGAAGGGCAACAACCAAGCTCCAAGATGCTCCCGCATTTTCAATCACACTGTCCCATGGACTAGATTGGGAAAAAAAAAAAAAAAACAAAACACAAACAATCAAAAAAAAGAAGAACAACAACAACAGAACACACCCACCCATACACTTTTCCCCCTCCTTCTCAGGAACAACAGGTTTCCTGGGAGAAGTAATAGGAGGCTTCCCTCAAGGAGGCAGAAAGGAAGGTGAACCTGAAGGATTGACATGAAACGCTGTTGGCTGATTAATATTCAAAATGATTGCAATGTTAGGCTCAAGGAGGGTAGCAATTATTATTTCAAGCAAGGCCAGGAATTGAGCTGACGTGAGTTCTTCATTGGTTTCCCTCCCCACCTCCACATAGCATGTCTGATATGCTCTCATCATATCTCACGTCCTTAATGCCCTGTGCATGCAACTTTTAAATCTCTGCAGCCTATAATTAAGAGATACTGTCACATCTTTCTGTTCCACTAACAGAATAATGGTTTTCCTGAGCAGAGGCTAAGCTGAGAAGCTTATTTTCAAAGCAGGAGACCATTATCCTTGGACAATGTTCTGTGCCAGTGACTGTGCCTCATTATACCAAATGTTTAAGCTGCACGTGGGGGAGTCGGCTGGAAACCCTGGCCACTGGGAAGGGAAAGTTGAGTGGTTTTACCTTCTGGGCTCCAGTTCCGATTCAGGACAGCATCCTGTGGCACAGGTTACACACTGCAGGCAGTGCCAGCTCGCCCCGAGTGGACCATCCCAGCAGACATGGGGACAGGAGGACACCGAGTCGTCCCCCTGAGCCGAGCGAGGGGAGGAGAGGTCTGGCCGAGAAGCCTGGGGAGCTGTAGGCTCGTCAACAGAGAGCACGATGCTGGTGCATGACTCTGTCGTGAAAACCCAGCCGGAGGGGGAAACCGAGCGACCCGTTCACTTGGCCCTTGTCCTGCTGCACGTCAGCCCCCAGCAGCGACCGCGGTTCCCTACAGCCGCTCGCTAAGGGACTTCAGCCACGAGCCCTGTTAGAGCAGCCTGACGGCGAACAGCCCCCTTCCCACCTGCACCATCCACTGCTGCTCTGGATTAGCTTTCTCGGGGAAGCCAATGAGGCTCATCCAGCTCGGAACAATTATACTGGCTCCATTTGGTATAACGAGGCAATTAGCTCCATGAGGAATGCAGACGTTTCTTTTTGGTTTTTAGCACTGCCCCTGTAAATGCAGACCTCATCATATCTCTCTCTGATCAGGCTCTTTCTGCTTCTCTCTGTTTTATTCCCATTCTTTCTTCTCCTTTTCACCTGGTCTATCCACATGGACCATGAAGGTCTCTTGAAAGGTAGGACCACGTGCTGCCAGAAGTCCGGCACATTTAGCTTTTTTTATTTTCCTTCCTTCTAGCTATTTATTTCTTTATAGCTGAAACTATACCTTCCCCTCCCTATTCCCATGTACCTGCCTCCACTTAACACATTAAACAAGATCCCTCTAACTCCCAATAGCATCGAGGGTACCCCCACGTCCAGCGAGTTGCATCTTGCTTGGAAATGCTCTGGGAGCTTGGGGCACCCCCCCCAAGTGCCAGCCAGACGCCCCCCCCCCGCCCCACGCTCGAGCAGCTGATCCCTCCTGGTATAGCAGGACCTGGGGATGATGCCCTCGGTGCATTCAGTGCCCTGATGTCAGACACCCAGGGGATGGTGACAAGGGACACGAGTGAAAACCGCTAGATCTTAAAGATCCTGCCCACTCTTTGTCTCAGCCCTGAAAAGTCCTCCCCCCTCTTCTCAATGATTTATGCAACTCAGGATAACGTTTCCCAAATGGTTTTCATCTGGGTGCTCTGGTTCTCTAATGCACACATCAGCAAACCCCATAGAAATCCATTTTAACAGGGTTATATTGCATCAAGATGCTGATGAATATCTGCTTCGCCCTTCTAATGCACTAACAGGATAAATAGTACTGGAGAGAGGTAAAACCGGGGGCAGGTTCAGGAAACGCACTGCTGGGGTGTTTGGTGCTGCAAACCCCCTATTAAGGAAGATCTGGCTCTAGAATCAGCTTTAACTGAACCCCAAACCTTAGGAAAATATAATGCAAATAAAGGGATCTGGGTTTTGCCACTCTCTACTTGGCATTTATTAGGCTTTCTAACTGGCAGTCCTGCTTGCAGACTGAATTTTCTTCCTCCTCCCCGCAGAAAGAAGCTGCTTTCAAAGCTAACAAGTTATTTTTTATTATGATGCCAAGTTAACACAAGACCTCAAATATTGTTTTTGTATTATCACTTAATTCACAAAGTGCTGATATAAGGAACTATGTTAGAAGGCTGTGTGTTGTACTGTGGGATACCAAATTCCTCTCCCACTGTAGAGAGATGATGCTATTAATTAAATGGCATGAGAGAGATTTAATGCCTTTCCCAGCTGAAGAGCATTTTGCTTCCTGGCCCAAGCAAAGTGTTTCTTGTGGCTTTGCAGGAGGCAAACACCTTTGTGTGGACACTGACTATCAAGGGCTGCAATCAAAGCACAGTACTTTTACCGATTTAAAAAAAATAAATAAATAAAGGGACAGAGTGCCATGCTGGGGAGTGAGGCTGAGGAGTCCCAGGCTAAAACAACAACAATAAAAAGACAGGAACGGAGGTGGGAAGACAAACGTTTAAGGTACATATGTGATACCTTTAGGAGTATTACACAATTTGCATGCTGGACATAAGATCAAATATGAACTGAGGAATAGTTGATGTGAAAATTAATTTTTATATATAGCAGTCCACTCTCATCCTCCATGCAATGTTATCTGTGTTTATGAGATACCAGCCCTTGCCCTCCAAACAAAAAAGAAAGCAGCTTTTCCTTGTTTTTTTGTTAAAAGGGTTTCTTTAAAGGGTTGGGATTTTTCCTGTGGGTCAGACTATTTATATTTCAGTAACCTGGATTAATCTTTCTAGTGAAAGAGATAAAACGATAAAGAATTGAGCAAACAAGCTTACATGTTCAGAAATAAGCTTAGAAAGGTAAATTCCCATGTGTTTTGGAAGCTGCACAGAACTTGGCATCCTATACATGCCCCCTCGCAGTGCTTTGAGAGTGCTCCTCATTGCATGTAGCTAAACAGCCAAGTGTGGTTTTTTGCAAGGAAATCTGGAAACAAACCTCACTAAAGCCGGTTACACCAAGGTTGGCTAAAACGCTAAGAGAAAGAAAGAAAGAATATAAGCAATGACAAGGAAAGGATATTTATAACGTACATCCAGTTGGACTGAACTAAACATCGTATGTAATACAGGTTTAAAAAAAAAAAAAAAAATTTGCTTTCTAAAAAGAAAAGTCTGAAGGTGGGGCTTGCAGAAAGACCAACCACAGCGCCAAGTGCAGAGGCAGCTGTGGGTCTCCCCACGCCGTGACGGGCTGTCTGCAGTCCGAGCACCCCGCACTTGCCCTCTCTGGGCAGTACGTTTGCACACTGGATTTAGTTTTGAATATCCAGACCTTGGGTGAAGGTTGTAAACCCCCATCCTCAACCTTTACTGTGTCTGTCTGTCTTCTGCTACCCAGCGATGAAGACAACAAACCCCTGCCAAACAGCCAGACCTCCCTGGACGGCACGATAAAGCAGCAGGAGAGTGACGATAGCTTGGTGGACTATGGAGAGGGGGGCGAAGGGCAGTTTAATGAGGACGGCTCCTTTATCGGGCAGTACACGGTGAAGAAGGACAAAGAGGAGACCGAAGGCAACGAGAGCTCAGAAGCCACCTCCCCAGTCAATGCGATCTACTCGTTGGCATAGTGCAACGCGCTGAAACCACAAACAGCCTGAGGTGTTTGTAGTGGATGGGGGTTAAACAACAGCCGCCGCCGCCACTACCCGCGATAGAAACGTGTGATTGAAACCAACCAACAATGACAAAAAAACAAAAAAAGGAGAAAAAAAAAAAAAAAAAAAAGAGCTTAAAAAAAAAAAAAATCCAAGCGAACCGGCAGACCAGGTGGCTGCCGATGCCATCTTATCCTTAGCAAACAAGCGAATGGCAAGGACTCCCGGGGCGTGGATGGGTTGTAGCTGTAGCTGAAATCTGGGCTGAGCCAGAGAGGCTGGAGGAGGAGTGGGATGCTCGAGCTACACCCCAGCTTTGGGGCTGGCCCCAGCACCCAGAGCCAGCCCGGCAGGAGCCACACGATGGGCTCGGCCCCCCAGGCTCCCCGAGGCCCTTTTTGTTCATTTAGGAGGGAATTAAAAAAATTCTTCTTTTTAATCTTTACAGGAAGGTTCCAGATAAGAGGGGAAGGGGTGGGGGGAAAGAAAAAAAAAAAGAAAGAGAGTTTAGGGAGGGATGAGGGGTGAGTGGGGCCTGGGCAGAGCAACATAAACGCATGAAAGGAGGAAAGTGGTGGATCTTTGGGTAACGACACCACGGCACTGTATTACCGAGATGTCCATCCTCACAGCAGCACCTTGCCCACAGCCTCTCCCAAACTAGTCAGCACCACAACCGCCTTCCCAAAAGATCAACAGCACCTATGCAGGAAGAGCAGGTCCCCACCGCTTCCCTCGGCACCGTCACTCGCATCGGGGCTGAGGCTCCACGGTCCGTCCTCCCTGCAAAGCCCATGGGGGGGTCACCCGCCACCCCCACGGGGCTCCGGAGCACCCTCAGAGGACAAGAGGTTGCAGAAGAGCTTGTGGGATTTGTGGAAGGACGGTCAGGTGCCGCTCATCCTCCAGGATAACAGCATTGCTTGCCTGGGTAATTGCAGGCAAACTATTTTGGTTTAGTCTTTGCTTTGTAAGAATTTGGGGGGGGGGGTAAACTCTCCCCAGACCGTTCCTGCTTTCTTTTAAAGGCAACTCCATAAATCTTATGTAGCAAAGAGGGAGTGGAAACAGGATTAGTATTAACGTAGGATGAGGGGACCAGAAATAGCTTATTAAAAAAAAAAAAAAAAAAAAAAAAAATATCAAAGCCACCCAGTCAGGATGAGAAGCACCCACTGGGATCGGGTGGAGGATCCTGATCTGCAGCTTGAACGGTTCAGGGACGCGTGTCCCTCGGGAGACAGGGAGGAAGGCACGTGGCGGGAGCTCAGGACCCGAGGTCCCCATCTTCCTGAGGCACTGGGGATGAGCCGGACTGACAGTGTTTCCCACTAAACCCCCCTCCTCATTTCTGACAGTGGCCTTTTCCCCCCCCTCCATCAATCAGCCTGAGCGAGACCCTTCCACAAGCGAGCGCCTGCACCGTGGGACTTCCCCTCCGCTGTCTTATTATTTACATATCAAGACAAACACGCGATTTAAGTTAACCCGTTAACACACCGTAACAAAGCGTCTCGGATAGGAGTGCTCCTTCACATGCCTTACACAGCTTCAGACTTCCCGTGAAGTTTAATAAACTGATACTATTCCATTCCCCCACCGCTTACGCGCCCCAACGCAATGGTCTTTGATCCACCAGACCAGTAGGAGTAGGATGCCTGGGCAGCTCTCCCAGCTGAGACAGCATGGATCACTGTAGAAGGTAGAGTTTTATAATAGACCGTACTTAGTGGCCGATGCCATGTGTATTCTCCCACTTCCTGCACTTTTGAAACCAAAGGTACCTTCGCTGAGAGAGATTGGATTTCTTCAGACCGTTTCACAGACAGCGAACGACGTTAGGATGGATTTTTCTTTCGTTTCTTTTTCCAAGGAGGATGTTTTTGTTCGGCATAATGGATTAAATGCAATAGGATTAATGCAATTATTCTTTTAGCTTTCAAGCTGGTTTGCTATGAAGACATACTGCTAACAAGAACACTTCTACTAATATGGATTGTTGCGATGGACTTTGCCGCATTCTTTAAGCTGCTAATGGCACAACTATCCTGTGCTTCGGGGAAGAGCTCGGGCCCGGTCAGCACCTACTGCTGGATCACACAGGGAAAACAGGAGAGAGCTGGATGCAAACCAAACAGCGAAGGAGTTACATTCACCAGGAGGGTTTAGGCTGGTGTTGACAAGCAGAGCCCCCTCCTAGAGCTGGGGGAGCTCCCAGAGCATCCCCAGGGCAGGGATGTCCCCTCCCCACTGCACAAGAACCCATCTGCCAGGGTCCTCCACCCGTGTCATCTTACAGAGTAGGAGCCACACATCTCGCTCCGTTACCACCAGTGTAAATGCATTCGTGCAACAAGCCCGTTTTCTACTGCTGCCACTCGCCACTGATCCGGTTGAAGGAGAGCATCTCCCAGCCCATTCCCAGGACACGCATTCGGTTTTTAAGCAAACACACGAGGCCAAATATAACACAGCCCTCGGTCCCTGGGATAATCGCTTCCCAAGCCTACAGCTGTCCTTACAGTGTTGAGTTTGTGTAACTTCTTGCCCAAGCAAGAAACGAGGAGAGAAAGACACTACAGCCTTCGCTGCGGAAAAGCTTCTGTCGCCAGAGCTGGGCATCTTCATTCACACCCAGCACACCAAAACCTCACTGCTTTGTGGACCAACCGCTAAGAGGGACTACAAGACCCTTGGCTACCACGCAACACCTCCAAACCTCAAGAAAGTTGGTCAGGATTTACTGGAAGCAGAGCGGTCTGTATCATGTATCTGTATTACGTGCCATTTACATTAAAGCCTGTATTTCTGTCCTGGCATTAACCACCATTTTACTGAGCAAACCTCTTAGCGTCCATTTGGAACTGGAGAAGTGTTTCACCCTGTAGCTTTGCAGCGTGTGCCCCGTGGCATGCCTCGGCAGGCGGGGAGGGAAGGAGCTGAACTCAGCCCAGCTAGTCCTGTCCTTGCCCCAAAAAGTCTCGCAAAAAACCATTTAGAGTCCTACCACCACGTTACTTCAGGTAACCAGCAAAGGAAGGCAGTGTCTGCAGAGGGCCCGGTGCACAAACGGCTCAGTGTAAGTTACTTGTAGCCTTGTATTAGCTTGGTGTGAAAATTATGCAAAAATTACAAGGTATAGTAAAAAATTTAACATTCCTTTGAAACTTCCCCTAGAATTTTGGAGCTCAAAGAAGATTCTTGCTAAGTTCAAAACTCATCCTGAGCATAACATTTTTCACTCCCTTTAATAAAGGTTCAGCAGATGTTTGCATGTGCAGTTAACTGCGTCACGGGGAGCAAAGCCCTCACTTGCTGCGACCACTGAAACCGCCACAGCTGTAACAGGGTGACCCCCACGCTGCCCCAAAAACGCATTCACACACCCCTCCCCAGAAAGAGCCAGGGCCCGGCTGCACCCACCCGGGCATCGTGGCCACGCTTCTGCCAGGCGCGTGTCCTCTGAGCGCTAGGAGCTGGATGGAGACCCCGCACGAGGACCGCTGGTGCTGCTGGGCGTTGCACACCCGTCTCCGCCTGTTTGGGTGTCTGCCTGTCCCCAGTGTCACTCCGGGGGAGCTGTTTCGCTTCTCCACCCCACAGCTGTCCCTCTCTGAGGGCGGGGGGACAGGCCAGTCACCCCATCTCCTGCTACCTATAGCGTAACCCCCCAGGATCCGCACTGATGCTCGGGAGGGCCCTATAGCAGCCACCGGGCAGGACCCCATCACAGGGGTGACCGTCCCTGTTTGGGATCTGCACAGCCTCTCGGGAACGGGGCACATTTTCACCTTTTCTTTTCCAGAAGATACATCTTCATCAAAGGGTTTAAATTAGGGGCCAACACTTAATAAATAAAGAAGAGCCAGACCTAAAAATCAAGTTCTCTCAGAAGCTGGGGGAAAAGGCAGTTTGGGTCCAACTCCCAACTTCCAAATCTGAGCCTGTTTATAAAAAGGTCCAAGCCAAAACCTCATCCGTGTTCTGGAGATGGATCCAGACTCTGCCAGCTGCACGTGAGCCCAAGGACACCGCCGGGCATCCCCGACGCGCAGCCTGCTGCTATTTGGAGCCCTGCACGTGTACAACCGCCGACACGAACCGCAGGAACGCGGGGCACGAGAGGACACTCGCTGTGTTGATGTGATCTTGAGGCTGCTCCCATTCTCCCTGAAGTGATGTTGCAGTAAGACACAGAAAAGCAGCGGGAGGGGGGGAAAAAAAAAAAAAATAAAATAAAAAAATTGAGTTTTGGTATGGGCCCTGAAATCCTGCTCACAGAAACCTCAGCTGGCTGTCCTGTCGGGACACAAGGCCATGACCCTGCCAGCACGGCTGCCTTGAGGATGACAGACCCCGAGTGTGCGTGTTAAAGTAATTTCTGAGCTGAGAGATCGACCTGGTGCTGAGGAGCCGCAGCTCCCGCCGCCGTCGCGCCAGGGGAGCAGGAGGGGTGCGAAGGCAGCGTCGGCCGTGGCCGGAGCCGTGCCCCTTCCCTTCCCTGCACGCAGCGCTCGCTCCAGCCCTCCTGGCAAGTCCCGACTCCTCTCCCCGGTGCCAGCAGAGCTGCGAGTTCAACCTGCAAGGCAACGGCCGTCGTACCAGGCTTAATTGTGCACTAGCAGCAAACAATTTCAGTTAAGCAATAAACAAACCTTGTGAAAAGAAATAATTAAAAAAAAAAAAAAAAAAAAAAAAAAAAAAGACCACATTCTATTTCTTGCACTAAGACCTGTTTTATTAACGAGAACAACGATGATTTTCTGGTCCTAACAAAATAACCCACCGCATCAGTAGCTCCCCTTTGCCCAGTAGCGCCTGTCTCTCCATGTCCTTCGCAAGCGGGCATCGGGCTTTGGTTGTCAAACACAGTCTAAACCCCGTGTCAAACCCACAGACCAGACTCCTTCCTTTGCAGTACAGAGTTTAAATGTTCGTTCCTCCTGCTCATATCAGAAAGAAAGTATTGGACTGTTTTGTTTTTCTTTAATTTGTAAATATATCGCCATCCATCCTTTCTGTACAACCTCCTGGTTGTTCTAAAGTATTCTATGTATTTATTTGCCTTTTTTTAAAGCAAAAAACAACACCTTTGTGTTAACCACTTGTTCCAATGAGAAATGTATAGCTGAAGCTGTAAAAATAACAGTTTACAGTGAGAAGATTTATGGACTACAGAAAAAAGGTTTAATATAAGGACTTATAAACTGACTGCATGAGAGATGAAAGGAAGCCAAAATACTCAGATACCATTTTTTTGAATCACTGTAAAAAGAAAAGACTGGATTTTTTTTGTATAGAGAACACTAAACATATAATAAAACATTGTTCAAAACTCATGCTAAGCCCGCAATTCATTTCCATCAGCTATTCGAAAGGTAAAAAAGCCGGCGCTGCTCCTGCCGCCGCCGCTCACCCCCAGCCAGCACAGGGCAAGCGCTCGCCCAACACGTGGCCCTTCACAGCCTGAAAACCCACCCGGGCCCCCAGGGCCCCCGGTGCCCCAGCAGCACCCTCCTCACCAGCCCTTCCCCAGCAAGGCGAGGCCGCTCGGAAGGACGTTCCCCCCCCAAACCCTCCGGAGGGGAAGCGCTGCCCAGCCTGAACCCCGCCGCGGGGATGTCCTTCCAGCGGGTCACTGCTTCTGCTGAAGGAAATTTGACCGAGTGGTTTACGAACCTCAGCGTCCCTTTTGCTCCCCTTCCAGGCCGTTTTGTCAGCCGTTGGTTTATTTAGGCAAAGCAGCACAAGCCCTGGGCCAAGACCGGCAGCGACAAGACGCTCTGTTTTCAGAAGCGGCTCGGTGCAGGGCTCAGCACCAAGCTGAGATGCAAAAGCAGCAGCCAGGGTGGCAGGATGGGGAGCAAACCCTCCGGCACAGCCCTCCACCCCCCAAGCTTGTCTCTGCAAAGCCATTCCACAGGCTCTGGGCCGAGGGGACGGTTCCCAAAGCCCTTGCAAACTCAGTGCAGCAGTGCTGCATTTCTGCTGCTGCAACACAGCACGAGGGGCTCATGTGAGGTTGCAGAAAAGAGCTGGGGAGCGGCAGGTCCTCGCTCCTGTTGCTCCCCAGCAAGCTGCGGGGATGACCTGGCACAGGCAGGGCAGATCCCCCCCCCCACTCGTGTTTCTACAGCCCCCCAACTCCAAGAGGATTTCAGCCGATGCCCTGCCTGGTGTCCGTCTGCCAGGTGAATGCTGTGAAAGCTGGAGAGTTTAACTTCTCTGTTAGCGGTCACCAGAGTTTTTAATAATTGCACAGGGCTGTCAGCCCACGAGAAGTATTAAGGGAACCACTCAAAGAGCAGCAATATCTGCTCCCAACGACCTGGGCAGGAGCGCATCACTCCTTGCAAAGCCCTCACTGACTGTGTCAGAGACCAGTGAGGCCTCAGTGCAGGCAACTGTATCCTTTCCAAGTGGGGAAACTGAGGCACAAAGGAGCAGTGGCTGCCCAGGTAACCTGGACATACTCATGATGCTGGTTCGGCACGTTTGAGACACGCTGTGCTGGCAAACAGCAGCTCTGCACCCTTGCCAGTGCTGGCTGCAGCACGAACACCCCACGGAAGCACACGCTGTAAGCTGGGGAAAGAATCCCACGCCATGGCCCAGCAAACATATGGGAGCACCAGGGTTTAACCCAACTCCCCCCTCCTGACCCAGCACGTCCTGGCAGAGGAGCGATGTCTCCGTCCTGGGCCAATCCTGCACTCCCCAGCCCTTCCTGCCCCCGAGGCTCTGAAGTGCTCTTAACAGAGGCTCCCCGGTGTAAAGCCTTGATGAGAATGGGCTGAAGGAAGGGGGGAAAACAGCCGAGCCTATTTGGCTAATGAAGATGTAATTGCTGCAGTCCTCACTAATAGGATGAAAGTATTAGTGCTTCCTACTCCAGCATTGCGGCGGGGGCTTTATCCACCCCCTCCCCAACCACTTACCTGAACAGCAGCTAGAAAGAAAACAAAACAAAACACACTTTTTGCCCAGCGTAGGAGACCTCTCCAGTGCAGACTGGGGCGATGGAGGCACCAGCCACCCTCAGTCCCTGCCCCGAAGAAGGACGAAGGAGGAATTGCATTTGGCCCTTGATGCAGCAATTGAAGCTACCTGGAACCCAGAGACCCCTCCAACACCCCAGAGCCACCATTCCCCACCGCCCACAGCCACGGGAACCGCCGGGGCCCAAGGTCTCCGCCTCGCAAAGGGCCGCGCGGCGGCTGCTTCCATCAATTCCCATGGGCCACAGGGCGCTTTTATCATCCAGGAGCGAGCGACAATGGACCCATCCTCATCCTCGCGATCGATACCGGGGGAGACACGCGCGCATTAGCACTTGTCCTTTTTATGGCACGATAATGACACCCATATCTTCCCTGACCTCTGGCCCGCCCGGTGGGGCGGCAGGACTGGATCGATGCCGACAGGCTGCCTCCAATTACCCTCCTCCTCCTCCTCGGAGAGGCAGCTCCAGCCTATTGCCCATTACCATAGCTAAGAGCCATCCACTGTCAGCACTGGGAGTAGCCAAGGGAGCCCTTACAGAGCTGCTTCCTCCCCCCAGCTGCTATCGCTGCGGCCTCGGTACACATCAGCACCAGGATGATCACCCAAGAGGTCACCTTGTCCCCAGACCCTCCGGGAGCTGCTGACAGCAGAGACACAGAGGAGAGGGGGCAGAGGGCAGGCCCCCCTCCCTCCACGGGGGAGGGGGCTCATAACCTCTCTTGGGCTTCCCTTTGCATGGTCCCTCCGTTAGTCCTATTGCTGGGGGTCAGAATCCAACCCTATTCTTTCTTTCTGTCCGGCAAAAGCAACTGCT